ATCAAATATGTAGACCCAAAATCAATATGCCAGTCAATCCTATCACGCAACGATTGATTGATATGCAAATTTCTACATTCGTTTAGGGTTTGGGGTGGCACAGCGAGTGGCACACGACAAAAATGTGCACCCAGAAGACATTTAGGCATTTGAATTGTGAACGTTTCCGTTTTTTTAATTTTACCATGAAAATTTGTTTTATTTTTAAAAGTCTTTAAAAGTCCCAGAAAGAGTAATGGGCTCCTGGGTACCAAAAACAATTCAAGCAAGCCCAAGTCCATGCCAGCTCTTAGATGAGCGGCGTTGGGTCTAAGTTTGGAGAGCAGACAGATTCATTGGAGACTTCCACTATAGATACTGGTAGCGGAATAATTGGTACCAAGCGGTCATTAATACTCCGTTCTATGCTTCCGTTCACATCTTTACACCATTTATTCGTCGAAGTTTTACATCTCTTTTGCAACAGGAAAGTTTATAAACATTATAGACATTCAATAGCAACTATAAATCCCTTACCAACATGTTGTTTTCCCCCTCTCAAACCTCAACAAGTGCTGTGTATCTTTGATGTTGCTTAATTTACGGGCTTACAAGTCCCGAATTGACATACATGGCATGCGGGGTCCCATTGATGCCATATTTTTGGTTACCGCTTTTGATTTATTTGCACTTACCTGTAAATAATAAATATCCACAAATAATGATAAACACCAAAGTTATCCTGGGCAACATGTTGTGGCTTGGACGGGACTGCTTCTGGCTGTTTGTACGTTAGGACTTTTCTCTCCCTCTCTCTCTGCCGCTCCTCTCTTTGATTCGCTTTTCGCAGTTATTATCCACTCGATGGCTTCGACTTCTGCTCACTCTCACTAGCTGGCAGCGAATGTTGCTCACTCTCACTTGCTGGCAGCGACTGTTGCTCACTCTCACTTGCTCGCTGATGTATGTTTAATGCACTTGCAGAACGAAGAAACCAAAAACGATCGTTTTTCACACAATATTAACTATTAACGGTAATAACGATGTGGGTTGGCAGACGAGACGAGACGCGCGTGTCTAGCTGAAATCACAGCGATTTAACGAATCGTTAAATTTCGTTTTAAAAAACAATTACAATCAATCCGTTTTTATTGGCAACAGTCGTAGCAGCAGCAGCAGCAGCGGCAGCAAGCGGCGGCAGCGCCTACCTATTAAGACAATTTGCAATTGCAGCACTCGTTTTCGTTTGTTTGTTGTTGTTGTTTTTGTGTTCTGCTTTTATTATTTTGTTATGCCTGTTGCCTGGAGTTGGTGTTGTAGTTTAAGGGGGAATTGGAGTATCGCGCAGCGAAAGATTGCCTCAAATTTGCATGAGTTTGGCCTGGCCTATAAAGCGGCTAAGTACAGGCAGGCTGGCTGGCAGGCAGGCGGCACACACACTCCCGTATCGTAACGTATGTGGTTGCCTAATATGCCACCAATATAGCGGGCGGCTGCTTCACGTTTGCAGTGGCAGTTACAGTTGCCGCAACGTCAGTAAGTTGCAGCTTGCAGCAGCAGTCGTAGTCGTAGTTGCAGTTGCCACAGTTTTTTCCTGTCGCGTCGAGACAATGGGGCACGAATATGGCACAACACAGCAAAGGCGAGGCAAGCCGAGTGGCGGCTTAAAGCAGCAGATCAGATCCCCCGTGATAGTCGTCGTCGATCTGTATTTGTTTCACTTTTATTATTATGGCCTCAAATTTTCTCGGCCGAACGGGTGTGTGGTGTATGATAAGTTTTAATAATAAGTTTTTGTTGAATTATTTTGTACAACCGTTCAGCAAGACGCTACAAGCTCGACTGACTGCAGCCAATTGTTGTTGAATTGAATAGTTGGATATTTACTTGGCGCCCAAACGGTTGAAAGCTTTGACTGTGGCTCAAACTGAAACTCAGTCTCCAGCTCATGCTCTGGCTCAAGGTGAATTTACCTGCAAGGTGACGTTGTCCGCTGTGGGGAGTAGCAATTACTTATTCACCACGCGCAGACGAACAAGCGCTGGCAAGGGTTAGAGTTAGTGATATTGCTTACCGCAAGAGGACGCCACCTTGCAAGCGAATTCAACTTGCGCTGCATCAGACTGCTCCGACTCCAGCTCTTGAGCGTTTCCGAACTCGTTTGTCGTGCCTCCAAAATAACCTCAGCTTGAGCGCAAACCGCTGCTTGCTTTTGCCCACTTTTTAATTGTACTAACTAGCCGGCCTGCAACTACTAACTAGCCCATGATCTGCTCCGATCTGTACTCTCTGCTCTGTCTCCAATCTGGTCAGCCTTACGCAATTTCCAATTGCTCGATGAATCACAGACCGTAGACCCTATTCCTCTTGTGCCGCAGCAGCAACCTTCGCCGAGTTGCGCGAATCCGTGGCTCAGACCATTAGGCGAAAGAACAAAAAATAAGCCAGACAGAGCAGCAGCTTTTAATTAATCATGTAACTATGTTTTTTTGTTTCTATAAATTTAAGGTTTTATGGCACTACATGTTAGAATGGTTTTTCCGCAAATGGCCTTTCATTTTTTGGGGTTTTCTTGAGTGTCTCTCGGGTGACCTTGCGGCTGACTGGCTGACTGGCTGACTGCCACAGGAAGCAGCAGAAGCTTCTGCTGTCGATTGTTGCTTGTCTTTGCCTGCATTTTAATGTTTGCTGATTTATTTGTTAGCTCTGTGCCGGACCAGCATGCTCAATTAGCCTTGTCCGGCAGCAGCAGCCTCTCTCAAGGCCTCCCCCCCCACATAAATCATAATCACATTAGACTCCGACACAGCACTTCTCTCTCTCTCTCTCTCTGAGCCGTGCAGAAACGTCCGCTTGCCGCGTGGTTAATTGCAAAAAATAGATACATAAATACAAGAAAAAGCGAAAAGCGTACACAAATTATATAAAACGAGAAACAATTATTAATGGCAAAAGTCGAACTGAGCTCTGGTCATTACGCATTACGCATTGCGCGGAGCCTCTGAGCTCTGATCCACAAGCCGCCGACTCACTGGCTAACGAGGCGGCACAAAACGCCACCAAATTGAGTGTCCGTCCGTGCAGCTGTCCGCCTGTCTGTCCGTCCCTCCGTCTGTCTGTAATTGATAAACTGACCAAAATGAACCACTGTCTGCGGTGTCTGTTTGTCGTTTTTCTGATAGACTGGCGTCGGCTTATTATTTACCACAAAAGTTGATTAAACAAGAAATTTATGATTGCATTTTATAATCGCATTTTTACTTTGGTTTCTCTTTTTTGTTTGTTTGTGTAACTTTAATTACGCGCTAATAGCTTCAAAGTGTTGACTGAATAAATAACTTTAAGAACTGCCCAAAAGACCGTTTAAATGTCGTCGGAGCAAGGTTATGTAATGCGTGAAGGCAGATTAAATCAAATGTTCCAACCCGTCCAGCCAGCGGTTGATCAGTGTAGATCAAATTATGACAGCAGCAGCAGTAGCACCAGCTCAGGCTCAGCATTTATGCCCCTCAAGCTTATGAACGAACCTGCCGCAAGTGATTGATGGGAGCACAAACTATCACTTAATTATGCTAGGAAGACAGAGAAGCAGTACAGAGAATAAGTACCATAAACTGTCTGGCTTTAATCAGCATAAATATATTCATAAATACTAGTCTTAGCTGTCTCCTTTCTCCTATGTGGTACCTAGCTTTGGACTACGTTGAGCACATTGATCACTGATCAATGATCGATTGCATTGATCATTCCTACTTATGATCTAATTCATACAATCGGTTCATAACAAATGCCATTGGCCGTGGCAACCTATCGACAAACATTCGCATAAAACTTGAAGATTTCTTTTTGAAATTTGTTATTAGTTTTATTTAATGTTTCTTCGCTATTTAGTGCGTATTCTTTTCAATTTATCAGCTATCGATATAAGCCAAAAGCAATCACAGAAAATGGATCATGAATCGTTGATCAAGTTGTACTTAATCCTGTCGAAGGTTCCTCCCCTTCAATTCGAGTGTATTCGTGGCTACCCAAGTGTGTTGTGTTGCGTTGCGGCTTCTAAGTCCGACAAGAGGCGGCTCACAGATCAGAGCAATGTTGCCCAGGAGGCGGCTCACAGATCAGAGCAATGAGGCGCTAACAGAGCAAGCCATGGGCTGGGCGCGCACAGCGCTTGGCCGCGGCTTTTGGGTTGCTTAATTTCTGTTTTGGCTGTTATTATTGTTACGTGGCTCTGGGTTGGGTTGCCCACTCGCAGAGTTCTTTAATGTGCCCATAAAACTCGTGGTGGACCTGTGTCTGTGTAGGAAGTGGATAGCCAGTCGCTTGTGCGATAATTCGAAATTGTTGCCCGCGGCGATGGCCTGCCTGCGGATTATTAAAACTAATTGGCGGAGGATTGCGTGCTGTGTGCTGTATGGGAAATGTGAATATGAAACGATGGCTGGCTGTCTCTGTGTTTGATGTGTGTTTTGTGTAGTGGATGGACAAGGTAAACAATGAATATGTCTGATGTCTAACACATCGGAGACACATCAAGTGGCCAAACCCTTGACAAGGTCAAGTGAATTGATTTCACTCACAGCCAAAAAGCGATCGTTTTAATGATTGGGATTGCTTCTACACGGCATCATTTACACGCCGACAAACCACCACACTTGAGATCCGATCGTAGAGCTCTCTCCCTTGTATGGCAGAACCAGCACCGCGAACTTGCCTGTCATCTGTCATCTGTCATCTGCTACGAATCAGCTGTCATATCGGGCCAAGCTACAGCTAGCTGCTTGGCTCTTACAATCACTTTCAAAAAAGAGCCCAAAAGAGTCCAAAGCAATTTGCTGATAATGATCGTTGCAACAAAAGTGCAACAAAAGCGGCAGACGAGGAGGATGAACAGGCAGGCAGGCAGTCGATTGGGAAATTCACAATTAAAACTTGAAGCGACTTGGTGCCATTCACCCGTTTGAATGTTATTAGAATGTGCCCCGTTTTAATCTGCATTTGTATCTTTGTATCTTCTGCAGCTGGTGCGCTCGGTCAGTGCGCAGCAGAGCGGCTATGCTGCCGATGCGCTGGCCGACATACAGCTGCGCTATGGCCATCTGCATGGACGCCTGCAAGTGTCCGAGCAGCGGCTCATCGAGAAGCTGCGCGAGGCGAGCCTGCCGGGCCAATTGGAGCTGCAGCAAGCGTTGGATATGCTGGAGGGCTATGAGGATGTCATCAAGGTGGGCGTGGAGCGTGAAGAGAGTTTGGTTTGCTTTTAATAATACATTATCTTTGCCTGCAAACAGCAACTGCAGCAGCTGCTGTCAACGGGCAGTGAAGTGCCCAAGAACTTGAAGCTCAAGGAATTGCTGCAGCTGGCGGGCGAGCATTTGGAGAAAATTCCAGTTGATGTAAAAGTGAACAAGCAGAATGGCAATCCCTACAGGTAATTATTCCTCTTGATTCATATTCATTCATTCTTATGCCAACCCATTTGCAGTTTGTCCAGCACTCAGCTGGAGAACTGGGAACATTTCCAGTGCGACTACATGGATCCGCGTATTGTGGTGGATTTTCGCAGCAATTACGCGCCCCAAGGCGGCAGCTGCACGTCCAGCGAGAGTTCATCATTTGTCAGTGAGCCACGAGAGCGAGATCAAAATCGTAAACGAAACTTCCATTGGCGTGAGAATTTGGAGCGCACATTCCTAGCCATGGACATAAGCACGAATGAAAAGGTTTGGCCTGCGCCCATCGATTGGTTCAAGACGAATGCTCTGGTGAGTGTTTTATGCATCAACTCGCCGGAGGACTTCTATGTCCAAGGCGTCGAGGCGGCGCAGCAATTGCGCGAGGCACTCGTCGCGTATGCACAGACGCCCAGCTCCACGCCCACGCGGATTGTGGCGGGTGAGCTTTACATGGCCTACAGCAAGCAGGAGGATCGCTATCATCGCGTGGTAGTCACTCGGCAACTGGCAGATCAAGCAAACACCTACGAAGTCTTTCTGCCAGACATTGGACTGACGATGAAGCTGCACAGCAGCAAGTGAGTGCTGGAGCTGGAATGTTCCTTTAGTGTTTGTTCCTTTAATGCTTGAAATTGTTGCAGCTTCCATGAGCTGCCTTATGGTTTGACGCTGCTTCCATTTGCGGCGGTACACTGCTGCCTGAGCGATCTGAAGCCACGCCAATCGAAGTGGTGGAGTGCGCTGGAAACCGCACACTTTAAGATGGTGCTGAAGAAGTGAGTGACGACAATGCTTCGATCGGCAGACACTGAACCCCTCTCCCTTACAGCCAACCTGTGAATGTGATCGTCACATCCCAAATGCAGCATCAACGCCACGAAGTGCATCTCATCAACCCCGAGTCAAAGATTTCGCTGCGCGATTCCTTTCTGTACACGGGACTGGCGCGCAATCGTAGCGGCGATTGGGAGTCCCCATGGGCCACGTCGGAGCAGCGCATACCAAAGGCCAAGCATGACGTTGGCGCTGTGCTGATGATACAAATGCTGCATGTCAATCATCCGCAGGAGTTCTATGTGATGCGGCACGACTACGAGGGCAAGCGCTCCGAGCTGGAGGACTCGCTGAAGAGCACCATGGATCGCATGGATCTCAGCAGTTTGCAGAACATTTTTGTGGGGCAACTGGAAATGGGTTGCGTGATGCAGTTGGAGGAGCGTTGGGTGCGCGTTGCCATCGAAATGGTGCAGAACAATGGCTTCGTGCTGGTGCGCCTTGTGGACTTTGGCTCCACACTGCAGGTGCCCTGGGATCGGCTGTACGCACTGCCCAAGGCATTCATGCAGAAGCAGCGAGAACTCAGCATCAAGTGCTGCCTGGCCGATGTGGAGACGCTGCAGGCGAACGACTACGCGTGGACCCCGGAGGCCATTGCTGCCTTCAAGCAGCTAACATCGAACCCCAAGCTGCGCATGGAGGTGATCAGCGTGCAGCGGAATGTGCATCGTGTAACGCTGGACATCGTACGCTCCGGCGTGGAGTCTGTCAGCGTTGGCGTCCAAATGGTGGCGCTCGGGCACTGCGCCTCGAATGGCGAGAGCAGCCAGAAGGCAGACACTGAGGCTCGCACACTGCCCCTCGATGTGGACGCGCGCAAGCTCCTCGAACAGCAAAAGGGCTTGGAGAGCGAGTCCCAGTCGCAGTCGCAGTCCGAGAAGCAGAGCAAAAAGTATGCGCACGTGGAGCTGCTGTGCGTGCAGCATCCCGACGAGTTCTATGTGATGCTGCACAGCCATAAGGCAGCTTTAAAGGATCTGCAGGATGCTGTGCAGCTAGACGCTGACATTAGGTACGATAGTAATCCCATCAAGATCGATTGGGAGGAGGGCGACATGTGCTATGCCAAGGTGCGGGCACAGGGCGACTTGGAGAAGCTCTGGTATCGCGCCATCGTGCTGCACGTCACCCTGCCGACCCTGGACAACAGTCTGCCGCTGTATGAGGTGCAACTGCTTGATCTGGGCGAAGTGGTGCGGCATGTGGGGGCTGCTTGTATGGCCTTGATGTCCGGAGAGCACCAAAAGATCGCTGCCAGTGCTCAGCGCTGTCAGATGTACGGCCTACGACCCAAGAACGCAGAGTGGACAGCGGATAATGTTGATTTCTTCAAGGATCAGCTGCAGGCCTACGATCAGCTGTATGTCATAAGCCATGGACGCCATGGACAGACGCAGCGCGTCGTCTTGTATGGCTCACACACGGTGAGCAACGGGCCCTTTACGCCCTCGCGTACTCGCTATGTCAACATCAACGAGACACTCGTACTCGCCCGAGTGGCTGAGAAGAATCCCGATGTGGACTACCGGGACGACAAGGATGAGGCAACAGACACGTCCACTGAGAAGGAACAGGCGGAGGAGCAATCGCTTATAGATGAAATCGATGATGTGACGAATGTTACACCAGAATCGTTCAAGTCGAAGCCGTCACACTTTGAGCACTGCGAAGGTATGCCGCCCATGAAACTTCTGCTGGATCTGGGCCTAGCCAAAGCCACCACGGGACAGGTGAAGCCACCGCCAGCGTGGTTGAAGCCACGGCCATGCGAGAAATCTCTCTACACTGGCAGAGTCACATATGTGAATTACGACTGTGCGCCGTACATGAGTCTGGCCACCGATAAGCCATTCATGGAGCACATGTGCGCCGTGCTAAAGAAACATTTCGGTCCGTTGAAGCAGCGTCGCTGTGCTACCACCACCTATGCGGTGGGACAACCAGTGCTGGTCGTCTATCATCTGGACAAGCTGCTGTATCGCGGCATTGTGCAGCGTAAAATGAACGAGAATAGAAAGTATCGCGTGTTCTTCGTGGACTATGGCAACAGTGAGCTGGCCACAGCGCAGGAGCTGCTGCCATTTGCGCCATTTCCACAACTGAATGCACTCTGCTGGCTGGTGAAGATAGACGGCGTGCGGCCGAAGCGTGGCAGGTACACCATCAAGGAGCTGGACACCGTGCACATGATGCTCGTCATGAAAGTGTGCAGCGTGAGCGTAATGGATTACTGTGGCCCCAAAAGGATTCCATCGTGCGCAATTAAAGTTGATGCCGCGGACATAGCCACCATGATGATGCACAGCGGCATGGCGGTGCCTGTTAATTCCAAACTGAATAAGCAAAAGATCAGCTCCACACCCAAACAAACTTTGGATGAGTCCAAAGGGTTTGTCGAGCTGCAGACACTGGCTGTGGGTGGTGCCAAAAAGGAGAGGCAGTTTGTGGGTGATGAAAACAATTTAACGGCTCTGTCGTCGCCGCCGCTTAAAAAGAAGTTTAAAGTTAAGCAAAATAATGCACAGGGACACGATCAGGATATGGACTGCGGTGATGTCGCAGACATGATCCTTGATGACGATAGCAGTGTCTCAATGGAACTGGAGAATGCAGACACCGACGAGGGCATTGCCAATAAGGATGATGAGGGGAGGCCAGATTTTTCCGTGTGCAAGGAACAATTGATGCACCGCATAAGCCTCTCCCAACAGGTACCTAAATCGATTTATTAGTCACAATTATAATCCATTTACTCTTCTCCACTAGAAAAAAAAGGACCACGCTCCCTTTATGCCATTGGACACATCCACAGTTCGTTCTCTGTATGCCGGCATGGACTCGTTCAAGTCGCAAATTTTGCCGTCTGGTTTATGCAATTTCAAGTGCTCCATCGGCTGCCTAATCTCAGCGACTGAACTACAAATTTCGCCCGATCTCTGGGAGTTTACAAAGCGAGACATTGGCCTGATGCAAGAAATAAGCGCCTTGGTGCATAAAGCGGCGCCGCTGCTGCCGATGTTGGATGATTTGTGTTTGGCGCGTTACTCCAAGGATAGGCTGTGGTACCGTGCTATCATCAGAGAAGTACACATGGCCACCAAGCAAGCTACCGTGTACTACGTGGACTTCCATGACACCGAAACGGTGGACTATGCCCACCTGAAGGTGATGCCCGAGCAACTGATGGCCTTCCCATTGCGTTCCCTGTGCGTCAAGCTGCACGGGGTGAAGCGGAACAAGAAATTCGGGTACAAGACCGTTTATCAGGCACTGGAAGCTTGCCTCGACAAGCATCCCGAAGTCTTTGCCAGAGTTCATTGCACCAACTCCAACTATTCTGGCAGCAAGGATGACCGCATCGATTCTGTTGACTCATCCAGCGATTCCATTTGGACTGGGCACAAGCTCATCGAAGTTGCACTTTACGAGCGTCCAACCTCGACAAAGCCACTCTATGAGCCATTAATTGAAAATTGGATGTTCCTAAAGAAGTGAAAATAAGCCACCAAAAAAATAATTATAAAACTCCCTAACCTTTCCCTCACGCATTTTGAATATGCGCCATTATTTAATTTTATTTTTAAAAACAATATAATTAAACTACATAATGGAATATGTAGCCCAGTTTTTAGTTTCCAGAATTATCTATATCTATCTATCTATCTATATTTGTATAACATTTTTGCATTCAAATCGATCAAACGAAAAACCGATCTTGTTCCGCTTTCAATTCATAATTTTCGAAAGCATTTTGAAAATGCCTCTTTATTTAAATACTTACATAATCGAATATTTGTATTATTTTCTCCGAATTCATCAAATTTATAAATCTAACAGTTCCCATTAAAATACCAAAACTATACGAAATGTTTTTTGAAAACTTTACTCTCAATTTCTAGATGTTGGGCGTAACGAGGCAGAGTGAGAGTGAAAAACTTATTAAATGTTCATTATTTCATTGCCATTTAGGATAGCCAACCATCCCCGCCACTAGACCCTAGGCATTTGTAAATATTTCACTTACCTGAAATTAGTTTTCATAAAACACAAAGTTAAGCCAACGTTCAGCTTTCAGGATTCATTCTGTACATACATCGGTTCTCGGATTCGTTTTTAATGTTTTATATCTCTTTTTTCGATTTAAGTTTTGTTTGCTCTTATTTAGGCATATTTACATGAACAAAATGGAGTAATGCTTAAAGTTAATCAAACGTTTGTGTTCCCTTGTTTTCTGTGCATTCAATGGAACCGAAGAGGATTTCCAAAGGGTTCAAATTTTCTGTCAGGGATTGTGTGCATGCCTGGATTTTATGTTATTTCATTTTATTTGTTCCAAAATAAGTAGTGTGTGTCAGCCAATGTTGCTTCACCTTGAATTATCGTATACGGTCATTAGTCAGCCAAGGTAAGGTCGTTGGCACAGGACTTTCTTCCATGACTAAACCCAAACCCAATATCCACCATAAATATGATAAAACAAATACGCGAATCTTTTGCTTTTTTTTTTGTAATTATCCATAAATTGAATTTATTTCCTCCATAGAATGGGTTTTTCTTTCCATTAGTTCTCATTGAAATTTGTATGTAATTTGTAAATATTTTAAAATTGTTTTGTTTGGTTTTCATTTTTTTGTATGGGTTTTTTTTTTGTTATCATTATCATTATTGGTATCTATTATTATGAAATTTCATTTAGACTTAATGTTGTGTTCACTTAACGCTAGAAATTTTAACTAATTGATGCTTTAAAGTTCAAACCATTGAAACAATCCATTAAAATAGCCTAGAGAAGTTGCAACTACTTAAAGAAATCAAGAAATATATTCTACGTACATCGAAATTTGTTTTTTTTTTTTTGTATTCAATATGACAGTTGTGTTCGCTTACTTACGTTCTTCGATTGCTGGCAGAGATTAGATTAGATTAGAGTCTAGTCTGTCTCATCAATTAGAAAAATACAAATTATATAACAAGTTTGTTTAGATGGGATTCGTTTTCTGTGTATTGTGTATTGTGTATGTCCTTCGCTTCGAATGTGCTCAAGTTTCGGAAAGAACTCGAAAGTTTTGTAGAACCAATTGTGGCTAACTTAAAATTAAACTAAGTATGTATCATAAATGATTAAAACTAAAGCTAAAATTACACAAAACTAAATGGGCTTTTGCGGCATAATAAGTAATTTGATGTTCACTTATTTATGTATATTGCACTGACCTAGGTATGCCGTTCATAATTCACTTAACAAAAGGGTTTGTTTAAAGCAGGCATGGAAGATGGTATGGGATGGTTATGGGTAAAGTAAACACTTTGACATTTAGCTAAGTTCTTAAACCACATCCGAAATGTACGATTAGTAAAAATGTTACTTGATAATTTCTTTGTCTGTCTGTCTGTGTATCAAGAATTGGCATTCGCATATGTAAACTAAATATTTTATATGTATATAGTTCGATAGGTAATACTAATTTGTTTTGTTTTGTTTTCTGTTTTGTATCAGCAGAGAGAGAGACACGCAGACGACGACACACGTAGTACACACAGAGAAGAGTCATGAACAAACTACCTTAGTTAATGATTAATATTAGACATTAGTTAGTTCGATTATTATACCATTTTTAGACCTCAACGGTGAAGGGATCGCGCGAATGATGGATTTTCAGATGTTTATTGTGATTGGTCTTGGTGGTGGAGCTCTTGCCGCAAATGGTGCACGTGAATGGCCGCTCGCCCGTATGCATGCGCCGATGCTCAATCAGATAGTAGTGCCGATGGAATGACTTGTCGCACTGGTCGCAGGTGAACTTCTTGGTGCCATGATGCTCGCGTCTGTGCCGCATATAGTTATACTTTCGTATGAACTTGCAGCCACAATATTCGCAGGTGTACGGCTTGATCTGTTTGTGGGCATTGATGTGATTCTTAAAGTCCAGCTCTCGCACAAACGCCTTGGGGCAGTACTCGCACTTGAACGGTTTCGCCGTTCGATTTGCATGCACCCACGAGTGTATCTTGAGATTCCATTTGGTGGAGAAGCTCTTGTTGCAGATTGCACAGTCGTACTGCGGATCCGTCGAGTGCGTTGCCATGTGCGCCTTGATCGAGGTCTTGGCAAAGATCTGCTTGCACATGGGACACTCCATGGGCTCGGCATAGTCGAACTTATCCGAATGCGCCAGCCGTATGTGCCGACGCAGCGAGTTGGCATGCACAAACCGGTCGCAGCAATAGGGACAGCACTTGGGCTTCACGTCGTGCGTCTCCTTGTGCCACAGAAACCGCGCCTTCGATGGCAACACCTCGCCGCAATGGCACACATACTCCTTCTTGCGCACCATCACTTTGGTGTGTCGCTTGCGATGCTGCGTCAAGTTCGAGTAACGCTTAAACTTTTTGCCTAACAAAAGAACAGATTTTAGTTATAAGAAATCGAATTTGGTTGTGGATTACGACTCACCGCATATCTTACACTTGAGCGGCGTTTGGCCAGTGTGCATGCGCATGTGCTCCACGAGGGCGCTGCGCACGACGAACTTCTTGTCGCAGACATAACAGCCAAACTCCTTCCAGCCCAAGTGGCGCTTCAAATGCAGCGAAAAGTTCTTCCATCTGTAGAATTTCTTGCCACAGGTGAAACACTCGGCGGGATGCTCCGTCAGATGCGCATCGTAAAGCTTCACGGAGGGGAAATCGGTGCGGCAGACATAGCACAGAAAGATGGACTTCTCCATTGCCTTCTGCTCCAACTCGTTGAGATTGTTGCGCTCCTGTCCCAGCTTTGACTCGTTGTAGGATATCAACATTCGATATAGAGCTGCCAATTTGGCGGCGGGCGTTGTCATCGCCAGTGGCGGCAGGGTCATCTTTTGATCCAGCTGACTGGGCGGCTTGATGTCACCATCCGCTTCGCCATCGTCAATGCCCAGCAACTGGGAATCTTTGACATCGGTGAGTAGCTCCGGACTGGTCTCTAGCTGCTCCACATCCGGCCTATCCTGGCACTGTTCCTGCTTGATCTTGACAATGCCATCTTTGGAATCCTCTTGCACAAATTCATCACCACCAATGCCCATGCCCGCATGCATTAGCAGCTGTTGCTGTTGCTGCTGTGACGGTGGTGGCGGCAACATTGTGGCACCCATTTGCTGCGGCTGCGTGCATATCAAACGCCGATTCTGACGCACATAATTGTGCTCGCCAATCATATGCGCATTGCGCTCCTTTAGCTTCTCGAAGATGGCCTCGCAGTGCGGACACTTGTAGAGCTTGCGACGATGCGGCTTGCGTTGGGCCAATGCCGTAGCCGTGGCAGCAGCCGCCTCCGCTGCCTCAGCAGCAGCCCGGGACGTTGAAGCGATTGGTGGACCAGCCAGCAATGCCGAAGACGTCGAGGAAGCGGTGCCCGCTGCCGGCTGCTCATCAATCAAGTGACTCTTGCGCGAGCTGGATGAGGCCTCCTCATCGGCAGCATTGAAATCGAAACTGCAAGAGAAGAGTTTCAAGGGGGGAACATGGTTTATATTTCGAGCGCTCCTACCGCTTGTGCTCCCGCTGCTGTGCGCTGAGATCTTGCAGCGGATAGTAGTCCTGCCGCCAGTCCGGATTGTAGCCGCCTGTGAACTGATTTCTAAAGTAACGCTGTGATATGTCGCCGTACACCTGAAATAGATTCAATTTATCAGCCAAATTCCTTAGCTGTTGTCTTTGCAAAGCCTTACCGACTGACTCCACGAGTTCTCGATGTCACAGTTGCTCTCCTGCTCTGAGATTTCCCCCTTGGCTGGCATTTTCTCATCGGTTCGTATGTTGAGTCCACCCACGAGGCTGCTCTCTGTCGCTGCTCCCGCGAACGAGGAGGATGTTGTCGATGTGGAGGCTGAGGCCGATGGCAGATTGCTGCTGCTGCTCAGCTGCTCTCGCTTGCACGCATCCAAATCCAGATACTTGACATCACCATCGACGGCCACGCTGCAACAATCGACGGCAGCCAGAGCGGCATTGAAATTGGTGGGCTGTGCTCCTTCATGGTTCTGGCTAGAGGAGGAGGCGCCCGTTCCCGCTCCTCCCGCTGCTGTTGCTGCTGCTCCCGACTGATGCTGTGGATCGTGTTCTTGTTCTGGCTGATACCAGGACTGCAGCGACTGTGTCTTGGCCACGCGAAACGTGGCATTCATCGAGTCGTGATCCATTGCCGAGGAATTGCTGGAAGAGGAGGCCAAGGTGGCGGCATTTGTGGCATCGCTGACACCGTGCTGCGTGTGTTGCTGCTGCTGCTGTTGCTGGCGGCCGAAGGGCGTGAAGTACGCACCATTCGCGGACGTTGTGGCTGTTGTCGTCGTCTGATGGTAGAGGAAATTAAAGTCGTTGAAGGAGGCGGCTGCTGCGGGCGGCTGCAACGATGCTGGCAACGATGGATGCACCTGAGCCACGGATGAGGCGTAGGAAGACGAGGAGGATATCACAATTTCATCCACCTCCAGATTGTTGTCCGGCAGAATGTACTCCTCGCCCGGTTTCGCTTGTCCCGCCTTCAGCTGCGCCCCCACCACGCCGCTGCTGCTGGCAAACACAGAGCCCGCCGAGGGGAAACCCGAATTGGCATTCACCACAAAGGTCGTGCTGGAGGCGCTGCCACCGGCGAGTGTCGACGGCTGCTTCGAATTGGCAAACTCCAGCAGCACCCGTGCATCGTCATCGTTGACCGTCGAGTGCTTCCGCGTTGTCAGATGCTTCTCGAGGATGCTGCTTGTTGGCAGCTCCGTGATCTCGCTCTTAATGTGAATCAGCTCAGTGGCACCGGGCTTTGATATGGATGTGGCTGCTGGCGGTTCCGAGCTCGAGGAAGATGGGGTGTCAGTCTTTTGTTTTGTTATCGCCGCCGCCGCCGCCGCCGCCGCCGTCGTCGTTGCTGTTGCCGTTGCTGTGGCCTTTGGTTTGATGACTAATTTCTTGGGTCCACGCAGCTGGGCGGGTGTCGAGAACCGCTGAGGTAGCAGCGTCGTGGCCTCAACCTCAACCTTCATGGGCGGCGGCTGTGTAAAGTCCTCCGTGGACGCCGACATGGCGCTGGCCATGCGAATGACGCTGGTGGTGCCACAGCTCTGCTCCAAGCTGGGCTTATGCTCCAGCAGCATCATGGGATCCGTGCCCTCCGCATTGTCGTACTCATCCAACGGTTCCTCCTTCTCCACCTTGACCAGCGGTATGGGCGCAACGGCGGCGAATGGACGCGAGGTGCCAATGCGACTGGAGGCCACAATGTTGCCCATCAGATCTAGATATTCGTTCATGTTCAGCGGCACATCGCTGAGCACCGTGATGCGATTTTTCTTGGACTTGGCATTCGAATTCGAATTGGAGTTTGAAGTGGAATTTGAGTGTCCATCGGCCAGGGCAGGCACTGCAACTGAGGCTGCTGCCGCCGCTGCACTGCTCGTGGATGGAGCCGTGCACAAAGGTGGAGCTGCCACTGCCTGCACCACTGCCTGCACTTCCATCTTCGTCTCCGGCTCCGAGTCGCTCTCGCAGCCACTGCTGATGCTCATAAACTCCTCGTCCGAGTGATGTTGCCGCGTGGTTTTCTTGGACGTTCGCTTGGGTTTGGTTTTGCGCGACTTTTTCGTTGTTTTGGTCAAGTTGCGGCAGCGGCTGTTTTCGTCCCGCTCATCGTCACCATCCTCCACATGATCGTGCTCGTCCAGTGCTGTCGCCTCGTTCTCCTCATCCTCATCGTCGTCCTCGTCTTCGTCCTCATCCTCGTCGTCGTCGTGTATGTGGAGCACACTCGGTGGCGACTGGTAAATGCGTTCGATGACAGAGAACTCCCCATCCTCCTTTTCGACGCACTCCACAATATGCTTGGGCGTCTCCTGGACAATGAAGTCACCATTGTCCCGCTCCAGATAGTGTGCAACTGGCGACTCTGCATAGCGCAGCACCGAGGCGGCAGCTGCAGACGCAGACGAGGGCGAGGAGCTGGCAGCAGCCGCCGCCGCATTGAGCAAGGCGCCAAAGGGAGAGTTGGTCTGACGGCTAGCTCGACCCGCCGTCGAGGAGGACGACGAGGAGGAGCAGCTACCGGCACTCGAACCGTACGACTGCAATGTCACCGATTGCTGCTGTTGCTGCTGCTGTCTGGGTGCGGCAGTTGTCAGCGCCACTGGCATTGATGATTGCTGTAGCTGCTGCTGGTGATGATGATGCTGCTGCTGCTGTTGGTTCTGCTGATGCTGCTGCTGCTGCGCATGCGCCTGCGGTGGCAGCGGCGGTGGTGGGGGATTCAGGAATACTTCCGTGTGGGCTTTGCCGCTGTGCTTGCCTACAGCTGCTGCTGCTGTTGTTGTCGGTGGTGCCAGGGTTACATTATGATGAACGGTCACATGTTGCTGCTGCTGCTGATGTTGCTGCTGCTGCTGCTTGTTTTGGTTGTGCTGAGATCGGATTTGACTGATGGCGGCTCCATAGGCGGGAGGAGGTTTCTGATGCGGTTGCGTTACTGTCTGCTGCTGCTGCTGTTGCTGCTGCTGCGTGAAGAGCTGCAATAAGGAAATGGAAACTTTGTGTGAGCAAAAGCCTTGCCAAAACATTGAAGCAGGTATATTCTTGAAATTCTTTGAGTAAATGTTGCCTGAAAGGAAGGTTAAAGTTTAAGCCTCAGTTTAAAATCGGCTCCTGGCTGTGACACTCACCTGCAACGGCGGCGGAGGTGGCAGCGTGGTGGCATAGGTAAACTTCAACCCAGGATGATGCTGCTGCTGCTGTTGCTGATGGGCAAAGTGTGTCGGTGTCTGCTGCTGCGTATGGCTGCTGGCTAGAAAGTGCTGCTGTGGCACCTGTGGTATCACCAGTGTGGCGGTCGCTGTCGCGTTGCTGGAACCACGCGCAAAGCCCGGCTGCTGCTGCTGATTAGTGTAGCGATATTCCGTGGTGACCAGCGGTGGCTGGTACATTGCGCTCATTGCGCTATTTGTGGTGGGTGCGGATGTGTTGTTGGCTCGCGCCTCAGTCGTGGGCGGTGCGCATTTCAGTGCTTTCATCGGTGGATTGCTCAATTTGCTGCAGACGCTGCTGCTGCTGCTCGCCGCGGCGGTAGAGGAGGAGGAGGAGGAAAGTGGCGGCGGCTGCAGGGCTGCATTTGTGGCTGCCGCTGTTATGGGCTTGCCTGCCGATGAGCTGGCGGTCACAACAACTGGTTTGACATCAGCGACAGCTGCAGACGTTGTCGTGACGGCGGCGACGACGTTGTCTTTGGAGCCACCAGCATCGGCAGCTCCTGCTCCTGTTGCCGCTGCTGCTGATGATGAGCTATTGCCCAGCATGGCCGCCGCCAGGGCATTGCCCATGCCAGTGTTGCCGACAATTGTCATCTGCACCAGTGCCTTGATGACCTGCTCCTTGGGATGAGTCTCCAAGTGATCGGAGAGATTCATGCCCGCATGCAGATACAAAGTGCACACGGGGCACTGCACGCTGTCAACCATGATGGCGGTCACTTGCTTCACTCACTCGCTGGCAGCTAATTCACTCGTTGACGCTCACTCGTCGTGGGCGGTCGCTCTCTCGCTGCGCTCTCTCTCTCTCTCTCGCTTAATCGCTCTCTGGGTTGCCCCTCAGAGTCATAAAACAGTGTGTCCTGCTTGCTGGGCAGTAGTGGCAGCCATCTTGCTCAATCCTTAGGGTCTGGGGTCTGCCCGAGCGAGTTGTTCGAGCTGTGAAAATAAATTGAAATGTGAGTGGCAATCGAATACAGTAAGAATGATGCCAGCCCCCCCGCCTGTTGTCGGTGTGTTATCTGCGAGCTTTGGTAAGCTGATATCCAAAGAATGTGCCGCCCGATCAAGGCGGGGAATGCCACGAGCGTTATCTGCGTAAGCGTGATTTGCTCACAGACTCTCGCTGCAAAGACCCCAGCAGACGCCACAGGAGCAAGTGCTGAGCTTGCAGAAATCACACGCAAATTGAGAACTCATTCCACAGCTAAGAATATACAAATGACGGGCGATGTGTCAATGCGTTTCCATGTAACCTAATCGGTATAACCTTCTATATCTATTGGATTTTCAAATATTACACACATTACGTTGAGTGGAAAGAAAGGACTGACCGACTGATGGAGCACAATTCCCTTGGAATGTATTATTGGTAGGTGTTCGATTGCACAGCTAGAAATTAAATGCTGCTGGGAATGCTTTCGAGGCTACAACCGTTTGGTTTACTAAAGTAAATAAAATGTTATGTGCCGATAAACATTCTTTGATATTTGATAATAAACAATAGCTAGAACGATTGATAGTGTCCAAAGATGGAGTTTAGAGATCGAAAGTGAATCAGTAAAAAAGAGCGATATCTGATTCGTTTACTCAGAGATGCAATGAGAAAGCCAAGACGCAGATTCTTACAGAATTAACAAAGCGAATGTCGAAACGTTTCGGTTGCCTGTTTAGGCCTTTTGATTACCTATTTTATGAATCAGCGGAATCAAAGGATCACTTGGTTTCCTATTTGCCGAAAGCTGCCGCTTGCTTTTAGACTATTTCTGGTACTAGTTTTAATCACTTGTGGAGAAACCTGCATGCCTCACAACTTTTAATTACTCATTTTCTGTTGAAAACAAACTTTTGGCACTTTTGTTTTGTACTTTCAGACAAATAATCAACAGCTGTTTGGTTAGGCTCTGCTCCGGAGCGAAACATCTGTTCAAAAACTAATCAGAGGGAAATTCCTATTTGGCTTTATTATTCCTGGGTGTTACTAGAGCACTTTAGAGACTAATTTCTGAACCAACCCTCAACCAAAATATATTTTAGAATAAGAATACATCTTGGGCTTTGCAAAATCATGAATTTTTCAACGAAGTACTTTACAGAGTATTAAGAAAATGGAAAAGGCAAAGGAAATCTTTCTAAATTCCGGGTTGGACAGCTCCAGGACAACGTGCCATACAATACGATACAAATCGATAAGTCAATGATCAAAATTAGAGAATATTTCGTGAGGAAATGGACAGATAATCATACTCATGTGTGATGTTCATTAGATTCGAATATTCAGTTTCAGTTTTAATCCTTTTCGAGGAGCAATTAACTGACAGAAATTATGATTCTTTTTAACACACAGATCGAATGCTGTAGCTTTAAAATATGCTTTTCGTTTTTGAGTACCCTGTGGTCTTTCCATTTTGCCCTGACACCTGACATGAGGACACGACACCGGGCAGCGCTCGCATGGTATGAGAAGAGTAGGGCTGCCATGCGCAAGCTGGACGCAGGCACAAATGGTCGATTGGTTGACTGGAATTGGTATGCCAACCAGAGAGATGTGGCCTGTGGCCGACAACTTCTCGAACAGCTTTTTTTTGCTTTTGCTCAAAAAACAGGGGCAACGATGAGAGCGAACACGTCCGAGGATGCCGTTGGCCAGGGGCAATGGCAATGGCAACGACCCTGCCCAACGGTGACGATTTTTTTGTGACCAGAACTGGGGGCAACACTCACTCTTATTTATAATATTTTCTCGTTTTGCTGTTCAGCTAATAATATGCATTGTTATCTGAGCACGGAGTCTATGGATTGGGGGTTCTGGTTCTTGTTCTGGTCCTGCAAGGGTTGCTGCTGCTGCTGCTGGCCAGGAGGAAGGAGTAGGGCAGAGGACGCCAAGGGCTGCACATGTATACTCGCATAAACAGGGGCAAATAAATGTCTACGTCTGTTGCTATTGATTTTTCCTTTGCAAAGGTTCACACACACTTCGAACTCCGAACAAAAAAGTGCGTAAGAATATCTCCAGTCTGAAGACCGTAATCCACTAAATTAATGATGAATGCACTCAAAACTAATTCAACAAAGAGAACCGGAGCCGAATCGAAGCGAGCAGAGGCGTCTGCTGCTTCTGCTTCTGCCTGGGGTTTGTCGTCGAACCTTTTTCTGCTGGGTGCAGAGCACTCTCGTATGTGTGTATGTTCTCTCTGTGTGCTCTTATGTGCGTGTGTGTGAGTGTTTCTGTCTGTCTGTGATCTTGCCACTGGCTTAATGTCTCTTTTTTTATATTTGCTGTTGGTTTAATTTTCCACACGCGCAGAACGCGTTTCACTGCGTTTTTTTTATTATGATTGCACACACACACACACACACACACACTCGCAGCCACGCACCAAATGTAGACACAATTTGGAAAATACATATTTCCGTTGTTCACTTTTCATTGCATTGATTTTGTTGATTTAATGGTATGGGGGCGAGGGGTCCGGTCTATGTTATGTACCCAGGAACTGTTCAAATGGAAAAAAAAACTACTACTAAAGCGAGAACTAATTGCTGCTATATCGATCGTAACACAGAGAGAGAGGGAGAGAGTGTGTAGAGAGCAAGTTTTTCTCAGAGCCAGAGCTGGCTGGCTGGCTGGGTATCCTTGAAAAGTTATGCACCTGCAGCCTGCTCCTAGGGGAGGAGGAGATGATTCCTTGGTCTGCCTGGCCTGGTCGTCGCCGTCGCCTCGTTCAATGACACAGAAATCTTTCTTCTCGTCTTCTGCTTTGTGCGCTCCTTCTCCAATATACAACTGAGCTTTTATATATGCTGCGAATGCGACGAGGCCATCGCTGCGTTTATCTCCATATGTGTGAGTGTGTGTGCATGGGTGTGAGTGTGTGTGTGTGGTTTGTGTGTGCGTATGGGGGTCTCGGCTACACACAAAGTAAAATTTTCAGGCCCGTTTTTCATGCACTTCTGCTAGGATTCTCAACGAGCCTTTATGGAATACCGATAAGCGGCTCAATCAGCTACGTTTAGGTGTTCGATTCCAGCATATTTGTTCACTTTTCACTATTAAATAGCCGTTTCATTCGTTTTCACCTTGCGACAAGAAAAATTACAACACCAGGCGTTGGAGTGTTGCAAAACGTATGCCAGCTGCGCTGCCAGTCAGCGTTTCACAACACCTTCGATAGCAACCCTGCGTAGCCGCAAGAAGAAGAAGAAGTAAAAGAAGAAGAGTGGAACTACTTTGTTAATTCAACTTTATTAATTTAATTGTTTTACGCAGCTCGAATCATCAAACAACGGCACAATGGCGGACAAATTACAGGAACAGAGCATCATGGACAAGTCCATGCGCTCAGTATTCGTGGGCAACATACCGTACGAGGCCACGGAAGAGAAGCTCAAGGAAATTTTCAGCGAAGTCGGCCCGGTTTTGTCGCTCAAGTAAGCACCGCCAAGCCACAAAGTATCTTTAACTATATATTTAACTAATGCTCTGCCATTTGCAGACTCGTGTTTGATCGGGAGAGCGGTAAGCCCAAGGGATTCGGTTTCTGTGAGTACAAGGACCAGGAGACGGCCCTGAGCGCCATGCGCAACCTCAATGGCTACGAGATCGGCGGACGGACTTTACGCGTGGACAACGCCTGTACAGAAAAGTCGCGAATGGAGATGCAGCAGTTGCTGCAGGGTCCCCAAGTGGAGAATCCCTACGGCGAGCCCTGCGAGCCCGAGGACGCACCCGAACTGATCACCAAGACGGTCGCTTCGTTGCCTCCAGAGCAAATGTACGAGCTGATGAAGCAGATGAAGCTGTGCATTGTCAGCAATCCATCCGAGGCGAGGCAAATGCTTATGCTGAATCCCCAACTGGCCTATGCCCTGCTCCAGGCCATGGTGGTGATGCGCATCGTCGATCCGCAGCAGGCTTTGGGCATGCTCTTCAAGGCCAACCAGATGCCGCCTGTGCTGGGCGGCAGTGCACACCCGAATGCACCCAGTGGCATGTCCATGGCTCAGCAGCAGCAACAGATTCCACAGCAGCAACCGTCACAGTCCGGGCCCGTGAGCGGTCCCGGACCAATGCAGCCAATGCCAGTGCCCGGCCCGAACTTCAATAATGTCCACTCCAATGACATTGATCTGCGCATGGGTCCCAGCGGTCCCATGCCCATGGATCCGCGCATGATGGCCCGCAATCTGGACCAGGATATGCGCCAGGTGATGCCGAACCCGGTGCCACCGCCACTGATGGATCCACGGACACGCGCCCAGATGCCGGCACAGCAACAGGGACCCGCCTCGGGGCCGGCACCGTACCCAAGCGATCCACGCCAGCGGCCCATGGATCCGCGCCTGCGCGCTGGCGCCGTACAGCCGCCGCAGCAGGTGGTGCCCCAGCTGCCGCCGCCAACACAGCAGCAGCAGAACGCAGCCCAGCAGCTGCAGAGTCGTCTGGGCGCCCACGGTGTCCTCCCATCGGACGCATCCGACCAGGACAAGGCCGCGCTAATCATGCAGGTGCTGCAGTTGTCCGACGAGCAGATTGCACAGCTGCCATCCGAGCAACGCGCCAGCATTCTGATGCTCAAGGAACAGATTGCCAAGAGCACACAGCGCTGAGAGCTTGTCGCAGATATTTTCATTTTTGATTGGAGAACGAATAAAAAGAGAGGAAGCAGTCGCACATTCAAACATTTAATCCTTTAGGAATGGGAAAGGGAATCAATCAGTGAGCGGAGACCAACGTCTGGTGCAGCTTGTGGACTGTTGTGTTTAGCATTTGGCGGAGAATGTCATCATCGGCACAATTAACAGCCTAAGGGGGAAACAATTAATAGAGAAATTCCCAGATATCACCGGAGCCTCACTTACCAGTGTCTCCAGATTAATTTCCGCACGTTTCCCGCTCACAGTCACTGGCAGTAAATCGCCCTTGAACATCTTTGGCACACAGCTATCACCGAATGTATCCTGCAGCGTCTCAATGAGGCATTCGCGGAAGCGTGAGTTCTCCGATTTGGTTTGCTTGGTGGCGCCTTTGAGGCTTGTGCCGCCCAGCTCGGATTGCATGATGCACGCGAGCACCGCATCCGCGTAGACATCGTTCACATGCGTTGCCTGCCACTCCATGATGATGATCTTCTGCTCGACAGTCAGCTCAATGCAGTTGAAAACGCGCAGCTTGCGCTCGGGTTCCACCACCTCCACACAGCCAGCGCCAATGCGATCGAGCAGCAGCTCCAGAGTGCTCAGGGAACTGCCCCAGGGTATGGACTGACGCTGCGTCACCACCGACATGCTCATGTCCGTGTACTCTGTGAAGGATTGTGGACAGAATTATCATCAAGCAGAAACAGAGAGTGCAATACTTACTGCCCAGATCGGAGGGTGCCAGCAGATGATACTTAAAGTCACGCTTGACCAGCACGCCGGAAAGTTTGCTGCCCACTTCGGGGCTCCTGGCTGCCAGATTGCCCATCACTTTGGCCGTCTTCTCGCCACGGAAATACAGATCAACGGCATGTGTGTTGCGGGGATTGTAGAACTTGATGTCCGTGCTGGCATCTGCCTCGTACTCGCGCTGCAGGGCTAACATCAGGCGTGACATTTCGTTCTGTTCGCCATGCACGAGCACCACATGGGTGGGCCGCAGCAGGCGTATAAATTCGCTCGTCTGCTGATAGTCCGTGTGCGCCGAGAATGAGATATAATCGACGGACATGTTGAGCGGCAGCTTCTGCCCCGAGAGCGTTGTTATCTCCTCCGGCTCCGAGAGTATGGTCTTTGCCAGTGTACCCTCCACACAGTAGCCGGCAATGATGACTCCGTTCTTGGGATCTGTGCACCAACTCTCGAAGAGCTCACGAGACAGACCCGACTGCATCATGCCGGGCGTTGCCATGATCACACACGGCCCAATGTCCTCAAAGTGATCGATGCTCTTCAGGTTGGAAATGTGCCGAAAGACAAAGGGATTGTTGACGGCTATCTGCCGTCTGATGCGATCATTCATCGCATTGATGTACGTCTGATAGACGGCCATGCACTTTTTGGCCAGCGAAGAGGCATAGTAGATGGGTATCTCGTGCAGTTCGGGATTCTGTGACCAGAACTCATCCAAAATCAACAGCAACTCCTGAGCACGGCCCAAGGCGAAGACGGGAATGAGGCAGCGACCTCCCTGCAGCACTGTCTTCTGCACCAGCGATGTAAAACGATTCTCACGATCCTCACGCTTCTCGTGCACGTGCGTGCCGTAGGTGGACTCGGTTATGAGCACATCTGGCTTCATTGGCGGCACCTCTGCGGCCATCAAGTGGCGATCCTCCTGGCGTGAAAAGTCCCCTGTGTACAAGATTTTGATGCCTGCAATTTCAATCATGAACATGGCAGCACCCAGCACATGGCCCGCATTGTAGGCACAAAAACGAACGCCCATGACATCGCGCTCTTCATGAAAATTAATCGTTTCGATTTTCTCCATCGAAGCCTCGAGGTCCGCCTCTGTGTAGAGCATCTGCTCCGTGGATATGTTGCTGATTTTGATGTAATCCGAGAGCATCCAGCGATAAATAGCTTTGGTGGCGTGCGTCATGAAGCAGCGACCTTTAAAGCTGGTCTTCATCAGGAACCAGGGCAAAGCGCCACAGTGATCCAAGTGGAAACTGCAATTGGAAATGGTTTTAGAGGAAATTCCACTCAAATTTCTTGACCTGCCACGCACTGTGAAATGAAGAGTAGATCAATCTCGTCCGCCTCAATCAGATCCACATAGGGCAGTGCATCCATGCCGGACAGACCGGGATGTATGCCGCAGTCGAGCATAATCTTCTTTCCCTTAAACTCCAGCATGATGCAGGAACGTCCCACCTCCTGGCCGGCGCCACTGAAAAGAATGCACAATTTAGTTTGCTTCCATGGCATTTTAACTTTTCTGCTTACAGTGGTTTGATTTGCAGCAGATCGCTCTCCTCATCCGGCACGCGGACATCGCTTGCGGGCTGTGACATTTTGTTTTGTTTTGGAAAAATCGCAAATAGCCGGGAAAAACGAAATGTATTGGAGATGTACAAATGTGACTGCGGATTTATCGATCACATATACCGAAAGAAACATGTATATCGGTATATAATTGCATGCATTTTTTGATATATTACTGTCTACTTACGTCTATATACTTTTTTGATTATATTAACCACGAAAATGAGATCCATGTATTATTTCAGCCAATGTTGTGAAGTGATGATTCTAGTAAAATTACACTTTTAAAACTGAGAGTCCTAATTAGCTGGTAATATTAAACAGAAGGTCAAAGTCGATGAAAATGATTGAGTACTTACGCTATATTTACAGTATATTTTGAAAATGAAAGTGTATATTTCGGTACATTTCCGAGGGTCTCTCGGTATTTGTTATCGATAATCACAAGGCACAAAAGGCCCCAAATAATTTCTTAAAAAAACAAATGGGGAGCTCCAGCTATGATGGTACTTTAATTGGCAACCAATTGCAAACTGTATCAACATTTCCCTCTTCTAACCAACTCAATAGTGCTGCGGAAGCAGGCGCGTACACTGGAAAACGACATCGACCTGAAGCTTGTGGCGTTCAGTAAAATTGGAGCTGGCAGCGGAGGCAGCAGCGGCATAGGCAACAGTAACATCAGCAACAGCAGCGCTGACACATCACCTCTGCTGGGGGATCATGTCTTTGACTCACTGTCCGAGGAAATTGAACAAATGCTGGAGAAGGTAGGAATCACTGTTGATTTGGGTCCCACCCCCCGACTGACCACCGTCCATTTCGCAGCTGTCGACCCTTAATGAGTCGATGTCGGATCTGCCAGCAACAGGTGCGGCAGCCATGCACACGCTGCAGCGGCACAGGGAGATTTTGCACGGCTACAGACAGGAGTTCAACAAAATTTGTGCCAATCACACGGTGCGCATTGAGCGGGAGGAATTGCTTCGCGGCTCCGGCCTGACCACCTCCGGCAGCCCCTCAATATCGGGGCTGAGTCGTCGCGAGATGTACATGAAGGAGACCGGGCACCTAAGCAGCGCCAGTCATCTGGTGAACGATCAAATCAATATAGCCATCGAGACGCGGGATAATCTGCATGCCCAGCGCCAGGCCTTCAAGCGACTGCAGACGCGTTTCAATGACATTTCGAATCGATTTCCATTGATTTCCAGGTAAGTCCGTGCCACAGATTAGAGAGCAAACAAAAAGTTGTAGTTATCCTTTTGTTTCAGTCTCATTCAGCGTATCAATATCAAGAAGCGACGCGATTCGCTGATACTGGGCGCTGTGGTGGCATTATGCGTAATTCTGCTGTTGATCTACGCCTTCAATTAGCGACGGGGCATCGACTTGGACAATCCAAAGATAGCGGAGCTTGGCATTCAACTCAAACTTCAGAAAGTTGCATATTTCGTTTATATTTCCCGATGGTATATGTGTATAATTAACTTGTGATAGCAATAAAATGTAATATAAGGATGGAAAATCATTGGAAAATTCATCCTTAGACAGTAAGAACTCCAATTATGGGCACGGGGATGCCATGGGGATTGCCAAAATTAAATAAATTTAAACTATTTCTTGGTCTCTCAGTCTAGACCACATTTTCAGCGCAGTCTAGTGAAACACCAACAAAAGCTCACTGCTATGGCAACGGTAGCCTACAGTATATATTTCGGTATATTTTTGAGGGTCATGAGCTAAATTGTATGCTGCGTGACAGCCCTGGCAAACATCTGTTGGGCGATGTGATAACAATTTCATTAATTTTTACTCGACACATTTTGCTTGCGAATAAACTGCAATTTCTGAATAGAAATATAAAAATTTATTGACAGACAGAGATGTCCATGCTGCCAAATGCCAGAGACCAGCCCGCAGAGGCGGCCAAGCCGCGTCTCTTTGACAACGCGGATCTCGACAAAATGGCCATGCAGTTTGTCGGGGATATGCACAGATACCGCGAGAACGTGATAATACCCAGAAACATGGGACCGGTGAAGATCAAGACGAACGAGGAGAAGCTAATCGAGACGGCGGTGGAGAGCTGCGGCTTCAAATGTGCCATGGCATGTGTGATGGGTGAGGATTTCCCTCTCTCTCTGCTTCGCTTGACATTTAATTGATTTTCGTTCCTGTCTCCAGGTTATGGTCTTGGCGCTGCCCTTGGTCTGTTCAGTGCCTCCGTTAATCCCAGCATGGCTGATCCCTTTGCGAACGAGAAGAAGCAAACAGCACGCGAGGTGTTCCGGGAGATGCGCGCCACGACGCATTCCTATGCCAAGAATTTCGCGCTCATTGGTGCCGTCTTCTCCGTTGTCGAGTGCACAATTGAGAGTGTAAGTCTGCTCTGCATAGAGATCTCCCACTTGTCACTCACCCTAATTCTTTTACACACAGAAACGTGGCGTCACTGACTGGAAAAACGGCACCTACGCTGGCGGCATCACAGGCGGACTGATTGGCCTGCGTGCCGGCATCAAGGCTGGCGTCATTGGCGGCCTCGGCTTTGCGGCATTCTCCACGGCGATTGACTACTACATGCATTCTAGATAGGCACTCGCACACAAGGCTTCCTTCGCTTTTATCGTATAAATGTTTCTTTCTAATTAACCAAAATGTCGGTCGTCTTGTCTCTGGTCTCTCTGTCTTTAAAGTTGCCGCCCAGGAAATGGGCGCTCCTAACGAGCTCGGCACGATCAGCTTGGACCGTGGTCTGTTTCCGCTGCTTCCTGGCAGTGCAGCAAGCTCAGAGCCATGACATTTACAGTGCAGCTGCCAGCCATTAATATTAAACCAATGAAATGTGAACTCGGTAGGGACCACGGCATGGGGCAGTGCGCTACAGTCTCGGCCACAAATTCGGCCAACGAACGACCGGTTTGGCAGTGCGGTGCGGTGGTGGAGGGGAAGGGGGATTGAGACCGAGTCCAGCTTGTGGGAACGGGAATCATGATCCGCAGCACACAATTCCAGTTTCGTTCAGTTCGAATTGAGCAACAGGCAGGTAGAGATCGGTCGTCGTTCTGCCAACAGTTTCCGCTTTCAGTTTCTGCCGCAAAGCGCGTTGATTTAAGACGACTCGGCTCAAGTGTGCTGAGGCTGAGGCTGAGGATGAGCATCGGCAGCTGCAAAAGTGCAACAGTAATGCCACAACAATAGAGGCAGCAAACGGGTTTCATTTGCAGACTGAAAGTCGAAGCGAACGTCGCGTGTGTGCCGCCTTGTGTTTGTATGTTTGTTATGTGCGGTTTTGGGTTTGGGTCGCGTGTGCAGCTCACAACTAAAATTTATGCAAAAGCCCCTCCATTACTATATTAAGCGTAGACTTAAAGACTAAGAGCATTAAGTAGATGAAACTCTGCACTAAAAGTGCTTTCAATGCTTCACATAGCGGCGGTTAGTTGAAAGGAAACGAAACAGAGATCAAAATCTTGTACATCGTGACTCACAAGTGTCTGTTTGGGTGTGTGTGTGTGTGTGTGTTTTTGTGTGTGTGTAGTGTATACAGCCAATGTTTATGCAACCAATTTCCAGTGGCCACAAAGATCTCTTGTTTGCCTTTCCCCCTTTTCAGTTCTGTGACGGCTTCAATTTGCGAGTGTTCGGTTCGTCGAACAACTCAATTCATGGATTGTGTTATTGTATATGGCCGTGTGTATATCCAAGCAGCAAGTTCAATGAAACCAAGTGACACTTGCATCCAATTGGACTCTGTATATCTACGAGTGAATCAAGCAACGAAGACAACTCCGCAGCGCAGCTGAGTCAACGGAGCAGCGCCCCGGAGCCAGGCACCGCGTACCGTTATCTTATCTAGCCGACAATCTGCACGAAAGAGAGTTTTTGGGTGCTGCAGCAAGCAGCTGACACAAGAGCTCCAAGAGACATTAAAAGACCCCGGACACTGACGACCTTGCTGGAAAGAAAATAAAGACCATAACCAGATAGAACCAAAACAGAAGCCATCGTCGATGACTCAATTAGAATTCACTTTTACTTTGATGATTTAGCAGTAAGCACAGTCCACTCTCTCTCCGTGTCTCTCTCTCCATATCTCTCTCTTCGATCTAAGAGAGAGAGAGAGAGAGAGAGAGCGGCAAAGAGCGCAGCGATATCTAATCAAAACAAATAATGCCAACGGTCCCAAGTCGCTGCTTGATTCATTAATTTAGTTTTATTTCCACAAGCAAGCGGTCTGCCTGCGCTCAAAACATTAATCGTAATGAGAATATTCAAAGAAAAGTGAATTAAATACGAAAAGTGCATTCAAAAGGAACAAATTCCAAGGAACAATTCTGCTCCGAATCGAAAAACAAAAAATATCAACGGTAAAGCAAATACAAAAGCACAAAACGATGAAGCACGAATTTCTGCTGTTGGTGAGTAAAATAAAGTAAAATATTTTCAGGCCAACCAAACATTATCGTTATCTTATCTCGAATACTTTTGGCCCATCATGTTTTCGGTTCAGATAGTGGGAAATATGTTTTTATGTGTGTGTATACGGAGCGTAGAGTTGGGCACTCACTATTTCCAACATTTTTTTGTGGCCAATGTGTGTCACTGTGCTGCTCGGGGGGAGACCTTTTTATGGAGCAAATGGCTGGCCTTTGCGCTGGGGGACTAATGTTCGAGGCAGCAGACAGCAGATGCTTAGGATCAGTCATCAATGGCCGCATAAATATTAAGCACATCTGTCCCTTGATCTTCTCAGTTGCCTCTTTGCTGTAGTTGTTTCAGCTGGTGCAAGATAAATATTAACAGAGAGAAACCAGATTCGAGACAATTGCAGCTAAGAGGAGTCCAAAAATGTTTGATTAAAGCAACATATCAGGGAATATCATTGAAAAGTGTGCTTAGAAATATTGGTGGAAAACATTTTAAATATTTGTGAGACAAGGATTTATTTTTAGAATAATTACATTTAAAGTTTACAGCCAGAAATGTCTTTTAAATATCTCTAGAAATTCTTTTAGCCCAAAACAAGCAAAACAATAAATTTATACACATTTTCCCCCTCCTTTCATGCCCTTTAGCAGCGTTACGAATCGAACAATTAGTCCCGCAATACCCAGAAAGATTCTTAAAACAATCAAAAAAGTTGTGCTCAAAGCAGCAGATTTGCAGTTGCGATTGCTTGAATTCTATTTGTTTCCATTTTGGATAAACATCAAAGGTGTTTACTCTAATCTTTACTATGCAAGCAATGATATAAATATTAATTAAGTTATGGCTGCACATGTGCAAACTTTTCCACTGATTTTTGCCATTTATTTTTTACATATGAATTTTCTCATTATTAAATTACAAACGATCGACAATCATGGAGTGTTGCTGCTTAAATTTAAGTGTAAAATATTAATTGTTAATTGGACTTGAAATTACTTTTGCCTGTCTGTGCATTTCGTTGGAAATGCACTTAGAATCGTGACATATGAGCACCAATGGCAAAAACGGAATCTGAAATAGTGTAAGCTCATTCATGGTCAGCGCCAGCTGGCCCCAGCGATGAGTGCACGTATTTACCCTCTAGTCGGGCTTCCTCAGCGATTTGTATTAGCTTCCCAGAGCTCACAGCCCTTCTTTGAAGAGTTTAAGAGTCAAAAACCTGAGTCTATGGCATTTTCTAGAACACAATGATAAAAAGTGAAACAAAGAATTAGGTCAATAACCGAACAGCGCAAGCAACGCAACCATTTCAAAAGAATTTTATTCGATTTTTAGAACATTATTTCGATTTTCAAATGGAAGTTGAATATTCAAACAACAGTTATTCATGGCGCTGCCAGCTCCATGAAATTAGGAGATTTAGTGTTGGGAAACGCAAGAGTCTAACGACTGCCCAGACAAGGCAAATACAAATATTTCACTTCAAATACAACAAGCACGCGTTTAATACACGCTTATTATATACAAACGTGTAATGTCCAAACATTAACTCGATCCCTTGCTTGCAGCTACTCACTGGAACAGCGCTACTGCTGACATTCGCTGATGGCCAGCACGAGGACATTCCCTACCAGGCGGTGACAAAAATCTGCGAGGCATGCGTGTGCCTGAGCAATCAGGACAGCAATCATCGCCTCCACCAGACCCTCAACTGTGACATGAAGAACTTTGAGCACATCCTGCCGCGCTGGCCCACCGAATTTGGCACACTGTCCACGGGAACGGAGATTGTGGCCACGTACTCGGGCAATCGCATCCGCCTGCTGCAGCAGCTGCCGGCCACGAATGCGACGTTGACGCTGTCCTGCCGCCACTGTGGCATGCAGCAGCTCCAGGCACCGCTCTTCATGGATGTGCCCAATGTGGAGGCGCTTTATCTCAGCTGGAACGAGATCGCCGAGGATGCGCTGACGCCGGAGCTGTTTCGCGGCCCATTCAAGAGCACCAAATACGAGCCAATTGGCCTCAAGGATCTGGATCTGAGCCACAACCGCATTGCGCTGCTCTATCGCAAACTCTTCGAGCACACCCCGCAGCTGCTCAAGCTGAACTTGGCCTACAATCGTCTGAGCGTGCTGGACGCTGGCACCGCCGCAGCGCTGGGCTCGGTGACGTCGCTGCAACGGCTCGACCTCTCCCACAATGGACTGATGACGCTGCCCAGCGATTTGTTTGTCCAGCTGAGCAGCCTGCGTGTGCTGGATTTGTCGGGCAACGAGTTCACTGTGGTCCCTGCGAGCATCCAGCAGCTGGGCAAGTCTTTGGTGCAGCTGAATCTGTCGGGCAATCAGTTCAGCAGCCTGAATGCGCAGAGTTTCCAGAAACTGGAGGCGCTGCGTCGGCTCAACATCAGCGATCTGCCGGCCCTACGCACCATTGGCCGAGGGGCCTTGGTTCTGCCCGCACTGGAGCAGCTGGAGTGTGCCAGAAATCCGAAGCTGGAGCTACTGGAGCTGCAGGACTTGCTTGCCAGCCGCGCGCTGTCGCAGCTGGACATCTCCCACAATGCACTGAGCACGCTCACCCTGAACGTGAGCAGCAGCAATAGCAGCAACAGCAGCAACAGCAGCAGCGCGGCAGCCTGGCCACGACTGCGCAGTGTGTCGATTGCGGGCAATCCCTGGTACTGCAGCTGCGAGCTGATGCAGTCGCTCGAGCTGGTCGGCATGCCGCGCGTTGAGCTGTCGGCTGGCGGTGCAGAGGCCCGTTGCGATACGCCCTACCTGCTGGCCGGAACTCCGCTCTACAATCTGACGTCCCAGCAGATCTGCAGCATGGTCATACCGAAGAAGTATCGCGCCGTGGAGGAGGAGCCGCCGCGCTTTCTGCGCCGTCGCTATGTCGTTCTGACGGCCATCATTGCCAGCGTGGTGCTGGTGCTGGGCCTGATTATTGGCTTCATTGTGGTCTGCGTGCGACGTCGCCTCAAGGGCAGTGACTACGGCGTGCAGCCCATACGCTACACCAGCGTGCGGGGCAGCAATCTGTCTGCGTTCTCGCAGCTGCAACCCGCATCGGTGGCTAGTAAGTTCAACAATGCCGCCAGTGCAGGCGCCACAGGTGCAGCCAATGCCTGAGCCAAGTTCCGGATAGAATGATCGCCTAGCTGCACGAATTTCGAGCCAAAGATGTCCCACGAAAAGTGTTTCCCCCCCCTCCAACTAAAACCCAAAACCGAAAAGACTTTGTGTGTGCTATCGTGTATCGTATCCCTGTACATATGTATGTAATACCACCCCATCCCCATCCCCAGTGGAGCTGTCTCCGCAATCCCCAACCCCCCTATAGTATCTAGTACTGCCATCGATGTTTGTATTGTACTTAAGTTTCGAAAAATTAGCATTTAATAAATAATTTTCAAAATGAAATCAATATAGAAAATAGAACTAAAGCAGATTGTAGTGGAGGAAGAAACTTGTGGCCACGATTTGGATCATTTTTATGTACAAAACAAAGGAAAACGGCTGCCCAAGGCGCTCTCTCTTACGCTCTTTCCTCGTTACGCGAGCGCCATCTAGCGGAGAGAGCGAGATGTAACAGCTGAAAGGAGATTCGTTGAGAACGGGCAGCGCGGCATGAAAACAGTCGGAATTTTACACGTTTTGTGGTTAAACAGATTACAGAAATAATCATAAAATCATAATATTTAATATTTAACTTTGTTAATGCACTTTTAACTACTTACAACAGTTTATTATTTGCGTGTCTTTTTACAGCATTGGATTCTATGCAAAAACTGAGCAAACAAACTAAACGGCAGGATGGAGGGAGGTGTAATCACGCGGCACGCTGCTTATCTCACAATGTTGCTTGGATAAAAGATAAAAGCTTAAACAGATAGTGCCGCATGCGTCGGAGATAGTGTGTGGGGCATTTCTAGCACTCGCTCTCCAGCAGTTCCTCCTCGACAGCGATGGGGGGACGTGGCAGCTGGGTGCCAAACAGATTGATGGCCTGCTTTTCGGCCAAAAACTGACGCATCTCGGCAAAGTTGTCACGCTCCTTGTGCTGCTTGCTGAGGTCTCGTTCGTCGGCAGAGTCCGACTCGGAGCCGCTGCCAGAGGCATCACAATTGCTGAGCTGTGCGGGAGATACAGCTTCCGCCTGTCGATTGTCTGCCATGATGACGCCAAAGAGCTCGTCCACATTGATGCCCTTGGCGTTGAGAACCTCGCGCTCCTTCTCCAACATCACTTTGCGTATGGGATCGATGCGATCCTTGAGCTGCTTCAGCACCGGCTTGAACTTGCCCTTCGTGATGCGCTTCTCAAAGTTCAGCAGCTCCTTCTCGGGCGTATGCGGGGCCTCCGCCTCCTGCTGCTGTGCCTCATTCTCATCATACATGTACGCATAGAAGTCATCCTTCTGCTGCGTCTCGCCCGCAGTCTGCGAGACTTCAACGCGCAAAATACTGTCGGGAAATTCATCGTCCTGCCTCGTACCGCTGACTGCCTTGGGCGCCTCTGACTCCTCATTCAGTTTGCTGTGCAAAAACTTATTATAGACCAGCATCAGGCGTTGGAAGTCATCACAGCAGACGGCCAGCGCATTCTCAATGCCGTGCATGCTGCTAGACACAGCCACAAGTGCTTTGGCGTTGTTCTTGTGCGCCGCCTCCGTGGCGGTAAGTTGCTGCAGCGTAATATCCAGTGCCTGGCACTCACCGGCCACGGCCACCATGCAGGCACTCAGCTTCAGCGAAGAGTGCTGCAGCACGGCAATTGGTCCGCTTCGCTGCTGCTCTGTCTTGGCCGCATGCAGCTCCGCCAGCTCCAGTTGTTTCCGGTTCTGCATGGCAATGGCCAGGTTGCCGAAGTGCTGCTCCTCCTCAAGGACCAACTGTCGCATCAGGCAATCGATTTTCACCAACTCCTCGCTGAGCTGCGAGATCGAGGGCCGCGTCGTGATGGTCAACGCGAGGCGGAGCAGATATTGCGACTGCACATAGGCAAAAATGTTGTGGAAATCCTGCAGAGAGCGTGGGAATCAATAAGACTGCCAGAAGAATGTCTCACTGTGCGCCCTACCTTTATGTGCTTCGGACTGTAGTCCGTCACATTGTTCTTGAAGTATTCGCACTCTCGCAGCTCCTCCATGGGTGCATAGTAGGAGCCATATTTGGCGGGCAGCGGGTAGTCCGTCTCCAGTTTGCGCGTCGCATCGTAGAGGATTTCGGTCACCTCCTTGGCCGCCGTTATGCAATCCCAGGCACGTTCTATCTGTCGCGATCTGCAAGCATGCAAATGAATAATCAAAAATCAAATTTCTCGATCAATTCGAGATACCTTACTCTATCAGTTCGGCCTGCTTCATGATGATTATCTCCTGAAAGTACGTCATGTTGCGGCGGATGCAATTGCCAAACTCATCGATGGTACGCACGAGCTGCTCCAGCTTGCGCTCCACCATCTTGTTGCGGCACACAAAGACGCTCTTGACGGCACACAGCGCTGTAAAGGTGCCCGTGACCAGGATGGTGGGCAGCATCGTCAGACGCAGCCTGCGCGGTGTCACGAAATGCTCCAGCAGTGTGCCACCCAGCAGCAGGCAGGCATTCCGCGTGCTCAGCAGCTGCCGGCCGGGCCGGGTGGCCGCCAACGACTGCCGGTCCTGTATGCATTGCTCGAGCGCCTCGACATGGTCGACCAGCAGGCGCTTTGAGTAGAGTATCTTCTGCAGCAGGCAGTCCTCTATAACCTGTGTGTATTACGCAGCGTGCGTTACAGAATTATAAATAGCATGCGTTTTTCTGCACGGCACTCACCTGTTTCTGCTTCAACTCGTCCACTAGATGGCGAGGCTCAAAACATTTCTGAAATCCAATTAAAACAACGTTTATTAGTATTCAGTACCACTGAAACTGTTCTACGTACCTTGAGCTCTTGCATTTTAGCCGTTTAGTGGATTAACTGATTAGAAATATTAATAATTTCGAAAAATTGGCTTAGAAAGTGCATTTTACGATGAAATGTGCGTAGCTGTGTGACTGATAAAATGTACCGCCGACCCTCAAAAATATACCAAAATATACTTTTTTTTTTGAAAAAATATACCGTAATCCTGAACGATTTGCAAGATTCTGATATTCTATTTAATTTTACTAGCCAGCTTAGACGCTCAGCCTTAAAAATATAATTTTATTAGATTGCTGAATCAACTTTTCACAAGAATAGAAAGTTTTTATGACTTATTTTTTGGGGATTGCCTACAAAATAAGGTTTATACTTAAAAGGTAAATACAAATTAAAGAATGAATGAAATGAAATCAACATTTGGTAATCGTTAATCGTTCTTATCGATGTTTACACCAACACCAAATATTCGATTATATCAAAACCATATTTGTTGCAGCTCTAATCCTATTTGACAGGATTGTCATCAAGTAGGCCGCCAGGTGCACAGGCGCATTAGTTTGCTAAAATAGGAGGCAGGTGACTCGTCGGGAGTAGGAAAAACTCAGAACTCGCAAGTGGAAAATTGTACTATAACGAAAATCTTGGCATAGTATTCCCTACAAGTTAGTGGTAGTTGAATCACCGCAAAAACAGTGCATTATTTTTCAATATGTGCCATTTTGCTTTATTTCCAGAGGTTATCATTGCAAAAATTCACATCCTTTCGGCCATCACTCGCTCCAGAGTATTCTTGAGACTATAATTGCAGACTTTGAACTAACTGTAAGTCGAAGACCTTTTGAAACCTTAGCTTTAAAGTGTATCCTTTACGTTCCAGAAAATGGACAAAAAAACTTGTAAAGAAGAACTGCAATTGGTTGTGCATGACTTCAGCCTTTCGTTGGAGGAACCTTTGCATTTGCTGTACTCTAAAGGAAAGCTGAAATCTGCAAATGAAATTTTAGAGAAGCTCCTTAAATGCCTGCCAGGTCGGTACGATGGAAAGAGCAATGTCCTCGAGTTTATCGTACAGGTAGAGGAGTGTGCCCAAGCACACGAAATAGATTTAGACGATATTTTAGGGACGATGCCCCTGGTATTGGCGGACCGTGCACTCGAGTGGTGGGTCCAATTGCCACCAATCGCCACTTGGAACTCATTTAGCGATGCTTTATTAAGAAGCTTTCCACCAGAAGGGAGAGCGCTGAAATGGCAAAATAGGCAACACAATTGTCAGTGCCTTGATAAACACAGGATCAAGGCAAAGCGTAATTGGAAGAGACGTTGCTTTGCAGCTGGTCAACAGTCACACATTTATCCACTACTTTGTCATACTACCAGAAGTGGAGGCTGTTATTGTTCTGGGCACTGTCTAACAGCAAACACCACAAGTGACGAAGAGCTAGCTTTAGAGCAAGTTTCCACATCCACGGATAGAGTTCCAGCAGAGCCAGACAGCCAGGCCGAGGAGCTGACAAGGCTGACAATTCCAACAATCAATCGCCGAAATGGCAGGCTACGCAGCGCCTCAGGAAATGCAAGAAACTAGATAATAATCATAAATGATAGCTAATAATTAGATATTAATAATAAATGTACCTTGCGGGCAAGGGATTAAACAAAGGAATATGTAAGCCTATTGGGAAAAGGGAAACTATAGGGAATCTTTTCCGTTTAAAGTCGGCAACATGCCACAGCTCTGACTCCTGTTTGATTATATCTTTTACATATTTTATTTTGTATTTACTTAGCATAGTTTGTGTTGTGTTCAAGATTACATAGAATTTGTTTACATATCTATTAGATCAATATCCCATTTACATAAAATCAACATTGTAAAAATTGTTCGCTGAAGTCGCGCAAATTCCTTCAGGATCTTTAGGAGCCAGTGTGTATAGTGTGTGTGGTTGTGGGTGCGGGGCGTATACATACAGATGTGTTTAGATTTTGCGACTTTATATAATAAATAACATGGTTGCTGCTCGTGCGCCTCCCTTGGCTCAGTGGAATGGAAAGTACGCGGGGGTCTGGTCTGGGGTGCTACTTCCATTTACAAGTGATAAGTGGCAGGCACGGCACGTGGGTAATCCAAATCGTACATTTGCGCCTTGATGAAGGCCAGCTTGTTGACGGGCTCCGGCTGCACGGTGGCCAGGCCACTCTTGTAGGCATACTCCACAATCCGCTCGGCAATGGCTATCGAGCAGTTGACAATGGAGCTGAGGGGCGGGTAGAGGCTGCCCCTGTTCAGATCCTCCTTGGAGACCAGCTCGGCCAGGCGCTCGGCCGAGGCCAGGAAGACCTCTTCGGGTATGGTCAGCATGCCGGCGCACAGCACGCCCAGAGCGACGCCCGGAAAGATGTACGAATTGTTGCCCTGCCCCGGATAGAACTTGCGGCCGTTGTACGTGACTGGAGCAAAGGGCGAACCCGATGCAAAGATGCACTTGCCCTGAGTGTGTGTGTAGGCCTCCTCGGCGGTGCACTCGGCCTTGCTGGTGGGATTCGACAGCGCGAAAATGATGGGCGTCTCATTGATCTCGGCCATCTGCTCGAGTATCTCCTTGGTGAAGGCTCCGCCTTGGGCGGCAGCGCCAATCAGCACATTGGGACGCACGCGGCGCACAGCCTCCTCGAGGGTATCGATCGGGTCGTGTGTCTGGGCAAAGTGCAGCTTGTGCTCGGTGAGGCCACCCTTTGGACGGTCACGCACAATGACGCCACGGCTGCAAGTACATTTAAAAGTTAGCTTTAAGGTTGGTTGCGGGTTGAAGTCCGTCTCTTACCTGTCCACCATCCAAATGCGTGACTTGGCCTCCTCATCGGTCAGTCCTTCGGCCTTCATGGCCATGGTGCAGAGTGTGGCAATGCCCAGAGCTGCCTCGCCAGCGCCCAAGAACAGCAAAACATTATCCTTCAGCGTGGTCTTCTTGATCTTCAGCGAGGCCAGCAGACCGGCGACAGCCACCGAGGCGGTGCCCTGAATATCATCGTTGAAGGTGCAGTACGAGTCGCGGTACTTGGACAACAAACGGAAGGCATTTGCGTTGGCAAAGTCCTCAAACTGAATGAGACAGTTCTGGCCGAAGCGACGCACGCAGGCCTGCATGAACTCCTCGATGAAGTCGTCGTAAAGGGCGCCGGTGGGACGCTTCTGGCGCAGACCCACATACAGTGGATCCTGCAGAATGCTTTCGGTGTTTGTGCCCACATCCAGGGTTATGGGCAGGCACTGCGATGGCTTGATGCCAGCCAGAGCCGTGTACAGCGACAGCTTGCCCACGGGTATGCCCATGCCATTGGCGCCGAGATCACCCAGACCTAGGATACGCTCGCCGTCGGTCACCACAATGGCGCGCACATCCGTCTCCGGCCAGTTCTTGAGCACATCGTAGACGTGGCCCTTGTCCTTGATCGATATGTACATGCCCTTGGGGCTCTGATAGACCAAACTGTACTTCTGGCAGGCCAAGCCCACAGTCGGGGTGTACACCAGCGGCATCATGTGCGCAATGTCCGAGCTGAGCACCTTGTAGAACAGCCGCTCGTTGCGCTCCGACAGGCTGATCAGATACATGTACTTGTCCAGGTCGTTCTCCAAGCGGTCGAGCAAGATGCGGCAATGGTTGACCTGGTCCTCACCGTTGCGCACGACATAAGGCAGCAGTCCATGGATGCCCAACTGCTGACGTTCCTCGTGTGTGAAGGCCAGACCCTGGAAGGAGATGAATGTGGTTTGAATTAAATAAAAGATCACGCGACAAAAGATGCATAAAGATCTGCCTCTCATGGTGGAAAAGTTCGCTGCTGCTTATCATTTTTGACTATCGCCTGAGCGCACGCCAATTCTCCGTTGAGACAATCTGACTGTCGTGAGCCATGCCGCTCGCTGTCTCACGTCTCTGTTGTCTCTGACCTTGCCATGCTCTGATGCTGGCAAGTGAATGGGCGCGAACGGCGATAAGCCCGCCCGAATTTCAAGTTCAAAGTCAAGTACTAGCTCCGGTATTCAAATGCATTCAAAATGTTTATAGTTTGATGACTCACAGCTCAGATCTTGGCCTCGTTTTACACGCACGCTGCATGCGTTGGATTTGAAAGTTTGTTTGGCTCTGTAGTTGCTGCAAAATTGATGCGATTATGGTTGATGGGACTAGGTCACCGACAATTAAATTTTATTAAAAAACGTGCAAATTAGCTGGCCAAAACATATGCATTACTGCTGGCGGATGTACAATATGTACCTGCTGATATGCACATTAGGGAATAATTAAATGGAATTATGTGAGTTTACACAAAAAATCGTGACCGAACAAAGGTAGAAAAAATGTCAAAGTTTATCGCAAGTTTGCTTCAAGTATTTTTGCTCATATTTTCAACATCATTTTTACTGCTTTTCGAGCTATTATAAACTAACAATAAACCAGAGATCTCTTTGTTTTGTTGGCCATTTCCTCAACTTGTCGCTCGACTTAATTATGAATATTTACCCCAATGACTTTCTGTCATTAGTTAAGGGGTTCTCCCAACTATTTTGGCTACTCCAATGAGTCGACTCTTATAGAGAACAACCAAACTAATCATTGGATTAACCCATGCTAGCATGACGCGCAGTTTTTTATGTTCATTCATGCTGGCTTGGTGGGCGTTATTAATTCCTATAGAATGGTACGTGCAGTGTTTTATGATATGAGCAGTGACAATTTGTATTCGTTTCTTACATTTTACTTCTATTTTCCATGCTCCATTCACTGCATTTACTCTGCCTAAAGGTTCCTTTTCTCTTATCCCCAAGGGAAGCTCCCACTTATCTTATTCCTGTATTTTATGACGCAAAAATTAATCATTTATGTAGCTGTGTATGTTCAGCTACAAAACACTCAAACTAAACATCAGACTGTTGATCTAATGTAAGTTTAGGCGCATGAAAGCGAAAGGGAAGCCCATGCGTGCTATGCGTGGTCATGCGTCAAGTTTTCGTTCAATTTAATACAATTTCACTCGGTTTTTTCGCTGGTAGTTGCTCTGATTAGACACTAAACAAGCAGCGGGTCCCGTACCATGCCAAATGATCCCCCATAAACTCTAATTACAGCGTTATCGCTCGCGCTACGTCATCGGTGGGCTGGTGAAATACTTGAAAAAAACTTGAGAACGACACCGTTGACATTGGAATCGAAGGCGCGACGGCCGCTGAACGTGTGCGAAAGTGTTCAACGATTGTTCGCCTGGCAACAGGTACGTGTATGTGCGCCACAAACATTCGCAGCTTGCCCCACAGCGCTATAAACATTTACTGGGAAGTAAGCGGCAGGCAACTCCGCGATTACGCATAAAAAAGCAAACCAAACACACAAATTAGCGCTCAGCTGATATTTGCAGCGTCTGGCGAGACCAGTTTCGGATGATAATGATAATGATGATGATGATCATTATCATTATCATTATCAATGGATGTCTGGGTCAGAGCTGAGTATGCCAACAGATGACGAAAGCGCCGCCTGAGACAGCACAAGGCATAATTCCCACCAAACTGTTTCCTCTGCAAAAGGTGAGCGAATGAAAGGGCCTTTTGTTCAAGGTTTACACTTTTTGGTAGGCTGTGCGGAATGATGGGAGGATGCATGTCAGGCGCTTAAAGCAGAGGCAGGGATAAAGGGTAGGGAAAGGAAAGGAGAAAGCTATTTATAGTGGAATAAATGGTGGGCAGATAATTCCAATGCCTCACTGGATACAAAAACTAAACAAAAGTCAAACTATGTACATTCCACAGAACTATGTACACTAAAGTTTCGAGCTACATATCTGCCCGTTCAGCACATTGACCGCTTGAATTTGTTTAACATTTTAATTTCCTTTGAAAGCACATACATAGCAGCAGCAAAAACAACAACAGCAGGGGTACAGCGACTGTAGCGAGAGACAAACAAAAAGAGGCACAAACTTATGCAAATTATCTGGTGTCTGGTGTGAGCAAACACGGCTGTGATATGGTTCGATTGTATATAATATACACATGTCTATACCTATTCATATATAATTTGCTGTGAGTGTATTATCACACTTGGTTTTGTCTGTTGTTTTTTTTTTTGCGGTTCGGATCGGAGTTAAATTTATGGCTGAATGTAGGTCAGTTCTTGCTGTGTCTTCTCTCTGCTGACTTTAGAATTTTTTCCCATTTTATTTCTGGAATGCGATAAGAACTTGAAAACTTTCCATGGGCGGAAAAGAGAAATGAATAAACAAATCAAAACACTTCCAGTTGGCATACAAATATCAGCTGTTGAGTGCAGAACTCAAGTACATTGACAGGCGAACACTGCGATAAGAAAAGTGTCGTCTGCTTGGGACCAAGTAGCAATAACATCTCCGATAAGACAAAGATACGAGAAGATTCCAACCAGTAATTTCTGGCTACATTTAATAATTTTAAGTTTAACATTTTCATAACATTGGACGCTGACGTAATTGCAAATTGTGAATTTTTATAATAACTATTGTTATTAGGGAAGAAAATGTATGGAGATTTATTCTTAACGAAATTTGATTGATCTGCCTCTCGTGTGGATACGCCTATTACTATAGAACAGGGCTCGGCACCCATGCAATTAACGAGCCGATTTTGCGTTTGTGTGTGCAGACGCAAGCAAAACGGAACATTTCCTTACATTGGTATTGGTACGAATCACTATAATATGCGTGTACGTGAGCGGCAGCGCAGCAGCAGCGCCTTGTCCTATACCCTTTAGAGTCTAGAACACTATAATAAGCCTTCCGTCACTCAAGTTTATTCATTTAAATGTCTTATTAAGTGGCAATAATTTTATAGAAACAGATTTATAGATATGTATGATGTATGTATGAAGCTTCAATAATTGTTTGATCGAAAATTGCATTATTTGGAGAGGCGGCAGCGTGTCTACAAAACGTGTAAAACAGCATTTTCTGTCTTTTGGATTATTCCATGCAGCTGTATGAAATAACATTAGCCCTTGTGCCCCCCCACCCCGACAGAACTCTATACAAATACGGTAAATTCATGCGCCCCTCTCTCACACAATCATTCACTCTCCCTCTCTCTCATTCTTTTTCGCAACGCGCTCCGCTCTCTGAGCAGCAACAATGGCAACCAGATTGGCTCTCTCATCTGCCATGTGAATATAGCGGAAAAAAAACAAATGCAAACCGAAAAGCACAAAACAGCATCGCATCTCATTCTGCAAATTGGCATTGAACTTGAAATGCACTCAAAGAGTAAAAAAGTGGAAAGATTAATGCCAACAGTTTCGTGCCAGCTGCATGGATACCCTTACGACAGATAGTGCTTGATAGCATATTTAATTGACCAATTGACCAATTATAGTCGCAGCTTGCTATCGATTTTCTGTGTGTGTCTGTTCCGACATCTGACATCAGCCACAAAAAATAATGAATACAAAAAAGAAAAAAAAGTGTGAGCTTCGGTCTTCCAGTGTGGCGCGTGTTCGCGTCTGACTGTTGCTCTCCCGCTCTCGCATTGGGCTCCGGCTATGTCATCTAAAGGTCACCCACACCAGCCACCACGCACTCGCCGCAAGAAATGGAGCAACTGCCAAAAAATATATGTATGTACATTTACTTTGCTTGAAAATTGTCAGCTGACAGTTCCGTTAAATAGTTATTTATGTATTTATGAATTTGGAATTATTTATTTTTAGCCAGCAGCCAATTGAGTATAAGGACTGGCACTAGACTCGTGGCTACCGCTGTGTGTCTACCATCGAATGTCTATCATCAAAAGCAAAAGAAACCCACCCTGCACGCAAAACTTTTGCCTGGTATTTTTCCACTCGAAAATCTTTGCTGCCCAAGGGCTAAATACATAACGGGGGGGGACTCACCTTTGAATAGCGCTTGTCGTTGAGACGGGTTAATCCGGAGACGCTTCCGACGACTTCATTGTCGCCGGTGCCCCAAAGTCCCAGACGATCACGTCCAGGTGTGTACTGCTCGATGTTCACTGGCTTGCTCATGTTGTCGGTGCTGCTGCTATCTTTTTCGTTGCTGTAAAAACGATGCTGCTGCTGCTGCTGCGGTGGCTGGAAGCTATTGCACAGTTGCTGCTGGTGGAGTGCGTGTAGACTGCGGTGCAGTTGGTTCCAGTGATACTGCGAGGATAACTGCAGTCCTTGCGGTGGTGGCGGCAAGTCTGTGACTTCTAGTTGATCGCTTGGCTGCGTTGCTTCCTCTCCTGTGTCAGCTGCTGTTGCTGCTGCTTTTGTTGACGGTGTTGCTGTGTCGCTGTCGCTTTGAGTACTGATTTGTGTCGTTAGTTTTGCGAAATTGGAAAGTTCGTATTCGAGTGTTGTCGTCGTTGTAGTCGTATGATTTTTACACACACGACTACTGCGCCATTTTTGCGCCGACGTCGGAGCGTCGCTACACGTACAGTGTGCTCCCGTCGCCGCCTGCGTTTGTGTGCGAGAGAGCATGTGTCGTGGTGTGGGTTGGGTGCTCTCATTGTTGTTGTTCGCCAGTGCGCCTGAGCATGGGTCAGCTGTTCGGCAGTGAGAACAGCTGCTGCTGGTGCTTCGCGAGCTACCAACGGGAATTGTGGTTTTGTATAGGCCGTTCTGTTGTTGTTGTTGTTGCTGCAGATTGTACGGTGTTATTTGGCCATTGGAAGGGCTGTGGGAATTATTTGCTGTTGGATATACCGGCGTGCTGGTGTGGAAGAAAATATTGAAAAAGAGAGTGAGACAGTGAGAGGGAGAGAGAGAGAGAGAGGGTTGTGAGCGCCATGTAATGCAATTACGGAACTTTTTGTTTAGGAATGTCAGCCAGCCACTTTGTCTTTGACTTTATCCCTCGCACACGCGAATCGTACAGAGTCCAACCCAAACAGGTGATGCTCGATGCCAGACAGGTCTTCGATCTGATAATACCGTGATAAGCAATGTCATTGGTTAACCCTGCTACCGCTACCGCTTCACGCTTCATACGATTACTAAGTATTATTATTCGTCTGTTTCCCTCACACTCACAGCAGCTGGAGCCGTCGTCCAAAGGTTCCGCTCGAGTAGGAGGAATAACGCCGGAGAGCAGCGTACATCATGGCTACAGCTGATATTTATGATCGCAAGACACTTGATATTGGATTGGTACTGATTCAGATTCTCTTTAATTATCTCCTCGCAAATTGTCTCGCTATTCTGCTGCCGTCGCGCTGCACCACTCAAAGGGAACTGAGCTGAGCGATTTTTCGCTCAATTTTTGTATTGCCATTTACATTTTACACTTTCGCATGACGTTTTCCTTCCACCGATTAGCTCTCGCCAGATAGCCGCCGCTCGGACCGAAAGCAGCTGACTGATAAGAGCGCGAAATGTGTACATTTGTATGCTTGTTTATTTGCCCGTTTATGTGGCATCATAACAACAATATTCGAGTGTCTAGCGGACATTTCGCTGGGGCGTGAAAGCCATTCGATAAAGCAAAGATATCGCACGACCACAGAGGCGTCCCTAAGGAGGGAAACGACAGTAAATGGAACTGAGAGAATTGAAGAGTTAAAATGGTATATCGCGACGAGAATGACCTTGAATGACCACGTTCAAAAAATCATCGATTTAGCGGTAAGTTCTCAAACGATTTAAAGCGAGGTGATTTCTCCAAGGTGATTTCTTGTACAGATTGTAATTGCAATTAACATGGAAAATTGAAACCTATTTTTAATTCGAATTGTGGAAGAAAAATGTTACCACCTTGAGGCAGAAAAGTCTAAGGTCTAATTCTTTAGGGTTACTCTCAAATGGCTCAAAACGATTACCAACGGGTAAATATCAAAATTTGATAAGCAAGCTGCAGCTACAAGGAATTAAAAATCAATTTAATTATATTTTTGTTGTTAGCCTCTTACTTTTTTTTTTTTAACAAAAATGGTACATTAGGTGTTTTTTTTCGAACATTTTAATTGAATTTTGATTTAAACCGAAAAATGTATAATTGTCTTAGGTAGATTTAATAATATCAACATAGAAAACATCGAAATTAATAACTTGCCTCTTGCTTCATATTTTAGTAACTTTTTAGTGAGTTGGTGGGAACCAAAGCGACAATTCCTTTTCTATTCTCAATCAGTAATATTTCATTCATAGCTGTCTATAAAATATGTTGCGTTTCAGCGCAAGTTTAAACCTTAACCTTAACCTTAACGCTGGACAGTCATCCTAAATTGATATCCTTTTGATTTAAATTTCAACATTTAGTCACTTTGACGAAGGATGACGGTCCAGGGTTGGCCGTACCTCCTCTGAGCTTACACTTGAGGCAATCACAACATGTCTGGTGCGGGGTACGTTCCGAAATCTGAACCATTCCATATTACACACAAAAATTGAAAGTACAATAAATTGAAACATTACAAACACACTTATCTGTGTGTGCTGCGGCAGCCTTCATTAATATTAATAATTTACTGCGGTTTTTTTTCGTTTTTTTATTTCTTTTTTGTTTTTGTCGAGTAACTTTATGAGCGAGTAGCGAAACGCACCTGTCGCATGGGTGTTTTTTTTCTGACTGATTTAATACAAAAATCGTTAATTATAGATTCTAGCCAGCTGCTGGCCCAAACTACTTATTGTTGGCGTGTGCCAGCCAACTTATGTGATGACTCGGGTGTCGATGAGTCGCTGATAAAACGCCAGTAAATCGCATCGTTAAGCACTAATGACACTAACCCGAGGAAGATTTCAGACAATAACAGTTCGAGGGGTGTGCCTGGGGGCGTTTGTTGCAGTCTAAACAAGCCAACTAATTGCGGGGTCTAGCTACAAGTTGGGCAGATTCTACGTAGTGCTGCTAATGGATTTACAATTAATGTCAAAAATGTGTTCACAGAAAGGTTTTGATAATCTTGTTGGTGTTACTTTGAGACGATCCCTGAAGTTAATTCAGTAAATATATAAAATAAATATTATGTTCGACAAACTAATCGTGCACCCCTCGCAGTCCATCAATCCTTCTTTTGTTTGCAGTTTGCCTTTTGCGGCGCTTCTGTTTTACTTTTATTTTCTGTTTGCGTTTCCTTACCCATTTTCATCGAAATTCCTAACGGCATTCCGATCGGCGCAAATGGAACTGGAATTACCCATTTTCAGTGCCGAATTTTCGTATAATTAACTCCAGCGAAATATGTAGAGTTCGTTAATGGAAACCAGAACTGAGGTCCGCACAGATGTTTTCATAAAATAAATAGAGAACTTTTACAGGGCACAGCGAAACACGAAGGGGGGCCTGAAATATTTAGTGGCGCTAATAAGCAATTTTAAGTAAAAACAATATTTATTGCACTTGAATTGGGTTTGCCCGCACTGGCCAGTTGTTCGTTCAATCATCGACTCTGAACCGCCCGAAACCGAATCAAAAACTAAACTCGAACTGAAAACGCGGCTCGGCCTGAGGCCACTTGTAGCAGCTTTGCCCAAAGGAGAATGGGAGTGCAAGTGAGCGACAGAGCTTGCACAGACCAAAAAAAAATAGTCAAACACTGAGCGAAAAAAGGGTAATAAAGGTACATTTTCGAATTGAAGGGGAATATATGCTTATATCGATTGTGAGAGGTTATACTAAGTTAATAACCAACTGAACACAAAATTAATCCTAAATTGTTTATTAGGCTCAGTCATAATATGTACGGAATTATTTTTCTTTATCCTGAAAGTACGTAAATAAACTAATATAATTATCAATAATTCATAACACATAATTATTTTATAAGCATTTAACACCAAAACATATTTCACCGCACAACAAACTGTATTCCCTTTTTCTCGCAGTGCACGCGCAGTCCCTCACGCAGGTAGCACGCGACATTCGTGTGAGCAGCGCAGCAGACTAAACAGCGACCGAAAAGCAACGGCAGGGACAGGGGGGATGGGACGGTTGAGTTGAGTCATTGCTGCGGTGCCCAGGCTACTGTTTTATTGAAAGTTACAGCCTTAGAGAGCAGCGAAGCTACGCCGATGGCGTTGACCAGCTGAAAAGTTGGCCAGTTGGCTAATCGCAGCAGCGACCTTTGGTGGTAACACCACATGCATGAGGCAATTTTTTATTGTCTAATTAAAACTTAATAATAATTTGAAGTCTAAGAGAGCAGGCAACCCACCTAACCGACTGACCAACGCGTCCCAGTCGGCTGCACTTAAGTGGAACAAAGAAAACACTAACAAAAGTAAAGGAAAAATGGCAACTTACTTACCTGTTGATTGTGGGTAAAATATGTTCGGCTCAGCTTTTGAGCAGGCCATCGGTTATTCGGTGTAGTCGAACCTCAAGTTTATTTGTTTTTATTTTCACTGAATTCATGTTCTTGTCACTTTGGGCCTGGGTGTCAGCTTTAAATCAGATCAGCTTAAAAAAAAGTGCTCTTACATTCAACAGAATTTATAGCACACAAAATCGCATGTTTGGCGACTTAGTTTAGCCATAAAAATAAGTCCAAAATTGAGTACTTTTAATACACAACTTAATCTTTGTAAGTGTAAACACAGTTCGTGCTTTTCAGCTGTTTTTTTCGGTTTATTGCCTTTTTGTGGCATTTTGCGAAACTGTCACATCCACAACAAACTGCATCATGATTTTTTGTGTTTATTTGTCAGGGTCAAATGTTTGAAGCTGCTTAGCCAACGAAAATTACAAATATTTATCTATGTATGATCTGGGTTCATCTTTACTGAAAGCTTTGGACAGATTGGAGGTCTTTTCATGTTAATGCAATCAAACTTTGCTATGAAAAGTCAAGCCTAACTATGAACGTACATAAATATATACATATGTACATAATGTAAATATGTACAAGGCAGCCAATGGCATAAACTTTGTCTTTTTGCAGTATTCATTCAGCAGAAACCCAAAATGTTAAGTTGGTATAAAAATGTCAAAGCTTTTGCTGCTAGCTACTTGGGCCATAGATGGCGCCATAATCTAAATGTAGTTTCAGACATGAGCGACATGCAGCCACTGGCGGTCAAATCATGAAAAGTTTCTTTTGTGTAGCAACAAAAATGCGATTAGTGGCTTTTTGTATGGATTACAGGTGGTTCTTTTCAGGCGGACTTCGAGTGGATTACGGTTGAGTGATATTAACATATATTAAGTAAACATAATTGTATATTAAATTGTGTATTAAACACCTGCATCTATCAAAATAAATATTTTTTTTGCATCATCAAAGGCAAGTGCTTAGGGGCTAAGCTGGACAGTCAAGGTGCTGCAAACAAAGTTCAGCTAATTAAGGATAAATAAATAAACTGTATTCCAATGCCCACCACTGTAGCCAATGTCAACGAGTGGAGCACACACTCCCACTACGCAGCGGAAAACAAAAGAGAGACACAAAAAAACACACACAAAGAGAAGACAAAGAGAGAGAATCTGCATGCCAAGCCAATGGCCAACGGTAAAGCTAAATCTCACTTGTACGAGTATAATGGAATAACGGAATAAGCGACAGCCGATCAGCTGAGAATTCAGTGGGAAAAAACAGCCACCCCAAGTCTACAAAAGAGAGCTCAGCTGGCTATGGGGACAAAGAGAGAATACAAAGAGAAACACGCGGAAAGCATCTCACTCTGCGCACTAGCTAACACTTTAAATTTGAGCTTGAGCTGGAGTTGGTTACATGCCAGCAAACTGCCATAAAACCAAAGTTAAGTGCATAATGCACAAAGGGGATATGTGATACTAAAAGCGTTGTAGAGTGTATCAAATAACCATACATTCGGGATAGTAATAATAGACATGACTCCACACTAGTCGTCGGCATAATGAATTATGATTATTATATTGGATGGGATCCTTTGTGTGACAGCTGGCATTCCGCTCGTCAAGTCTTGAATTTAATAAAATAAAATAAAAAACTAAAAGAGTTCCGTAGCAGAGCAAGCAACAAAGCAATTGCGAGCCACTTTTATCATGAAATGATTTTACCCAAGTCTAAGCTGGGCGCAATTTCCACAAAGATGCATGGCCCCAGACCAGGGGGGGGGCCAAAGACTGCAGTGCTCCGTCGGCTTGGAGAATGTCTGTGGATGATTGGGGCAGCAGCAGCAGCAGCAGCAGCGGGAGGAGGAGAACGGGTGAAGCTCCCAACCTCCATGCAGCGGTAATCTATCATAATTTTTATATCCTAAAATCCCATTTTCGTATTAGAGCAAAAATGTCTGCTGGCAAATATAATAAAATGGCCAACACATCGATGTGGACAGCGGGCAGAAGGTACAGAGGATGACCAGAAAACCCGTACGGGTTGCAGCACATTCGTGGTCCTTGTCAAAGGATAGCACAGACACACACACACATGGACATGGACGGAGCGAAGCGGAGAAGCCATGCCAACAGTATGAAATTCCAGCCAGCGCTTGATTTTCCTCTACTTTCGATTCGCTTTGCCCTTTTGCGCCCATCTGAAAGCTCTCTCCCACTCTTCCCTCTCCCTCTCTCTCTCTCCTGCCTCTCTATATCCGCTGGCCTGGGCTTAGCCTTTGCTGTTCCCGTTTTATTTTTCAACGCCGGCCACCCGTTCGCATAGCCAACAATTTTAGGAGTCACGCGCACACGATCTGACTTGGTGCTGCTCTTCGCCTGCTCCACGCCGGAAATGCCAATCTAAACAAACAAAACAACAAACAAAAAACAGGCCAGAAGAGTGTCCCGTGTCCAGTGTCCGCGTGCACGGGCAGGGTACACCCTTACAATGAAAATAAAAATATGTAGAAGCAGCAAAAAAGGTTGTGGCCAAAAAACCCTTTGATACATTGTACCACATACAGGATTATGCACTCGAAAGGTACCCAATCCGAGGTACCTTTGAAGCTTGCTTTAGATTTTCTTTGGCCAATAACTTTGCATATTTGAATGGATCCATCTGCTGCTGGAAATACTCTCCACGGGCCATGATCCACCCTTGTTTGGGTGGGTCTCAATAATTATAACCCCATCAAAGCCCCAGAAGTAAATACAAAGTAAATATGAGATAACTATTTTTTAATATATGGCTGCTCCACACAGCCACAGCGTTGGCGAGTCAATATTTTATATTTAAATTAAAAACGACAGCGACGAAGTAATGCGGCAAAAGAAACCAAGCGAGCCAGCGTGGCGTATAATTAATTTTTAAATAATAATATAAAATGCAGTCAATAAAAAAAAAAGTACAAAAAAAATAAAACGCCACGCAGCATGCGGCACACAGCTTACACGCGGCATTTAAAGGGGAAAAATCAAGAAAATGCAAAAGAGAGTTTCGCGCGTTTTAAACCGCTTTAAAAAATGACTGCAGCGTCGCCCGAGACTGGCCCCGGCTCATTATGCATTAACAACTACATTAAATGAGAGAACCAGCTCCTGATCCTGGCAACGCCTGCGGTCGACAACATCTGCAGCCAAGTCGGCCATGTTTATGGCCATGTTCTGTTGGTCGGTCACTTGTTCGGCATTCGGCATGAATTCAGTGCGTCAAGAAGTTAATTCTTTGCCATTTGATTTCGCGCTGGATTCCATTGATTAATTGCTGTGTAAAAGGTGACTTCAATCACTGGTTTACCCTGCCTCTAGAAACAATTTTTCGAGCTAAAAATAAGTTGCGTTCTCAGACCCTGAAGACCCAGCGAGTCGTAGCCGAAGTGTGGGCCTCCGGGACTCTATCAGGCACAGCTTTTATGCTCAAATGGATATCCAAATATGTAACTTAGAACTCAAAGTGTTTCCGATTTGAAGTGCATTCCAAGAGGCATTCATTTATTTTGTTTTTCAAATAAATTTCGCTGCATTCAAAGCCGATTTCAAGGCTCGTTGACAACCGCCAGCACAAAAAGCACCGAAAAACAGCAAAACGGGGAAAAAAACGGAATGGATGAATGGCAGGCAAAGAAGCGACAATCAATTTAATTAAAACTTTTAACAAGCTCTGGCTCATTTCACTTTCGACGTCTGGATGTTGGGGGTTGGGTGTTGGGTGTTGGGTGTTGGGCCTTTTGGTTCGGGCTATGGCAGCGTTTCATATTTGATATTAATTAAAAAGTTTACGCTGTCGCTGGCTGCTTCAAAACGAATTGTTGGCACTAAAAAAACAACAAAAAAGCAACAGCCGAAAAAATGAAATCTGTTCACTGATGAAAAAGCCAAACACAATGGCAGCTGCATGTTATCCATCCATCCAGACGGG